CGTGGGCCTCGTGCCGGAGAGCGTAAGAGAGCAGCGCCGACAAATCGTGGAGCGCAACGGTGGCCGTATCGACGATGTCGAGTTTACGTTCCGCGCTGGAGGCGTTTCAAAGACGTTGGGCGAGGCGACACTGCGCAACCGCGTCAAGAGTCACCAGGACGTCGGCGAGCGCTGGTACCCGGATATTCTCGCTGGGATCCGTGAGGAGCAGGCAAGGGCCAAGAAGCAGCGGGAGGAGGCTGCACTGGTGGTCGAGACACCTCCCAAGGCGGTAGAGGCTCATTAAGTGGCAGGCATGGAGGGAGAGAGAACATTATCTCTCGGTGGAATCATAGCAAGCGAATCATAAGAACCATGTAAAAGCATTTCCGTCGTGGGTTTCTCGTCACATCATCTTCGTGCCCAACCTTCACGCCCCCTTGTTCTATCACACCACAACAACACACAAAGTACGCCTCGCTTCGCTAAAATGCTCCCAAATGTGTTCCCTTGGTTACGCCTAATCATCTGTGCTCTGATAAGGCTCGTTTCGTCCAAGAGCGTCACGATCACTGCTCATAGGTAGGGAAGCACTCGGTCAGCGTCTTGCTGTGCTTGTTCTCGGCGTGCTCGGCGAGACTAGAGACAAGTTGTTAGATCGGTCAACTCGGGAGTATCGTGGGGGGACATACGCGGGGCCCTTGGTGGTCTTGAGGAAGGTCGACTTGCAGACCTGGCACTGAATGTCGCAAGCCTGCTTGTTCTGTTTTCGAAAGAGTCAGTATTCGAACAGGGGATGTCTAGAGAGGACGATTGTAGACTCACCACCTTGAGCTGGGACTTGGCAGTCTTGCCCTCCTTCTGAGCGCGCTCGCGCTTCTGCTGAGCCTTGGCACCCTGTATTCTCAGTCAGTCCTGAATGCTATTTACCGTCCTGAAAGGCTATTAAACATACGTTACCCATGATTGCGACGTGTGTGGTAGTGTAAGAACAAAAGGTAGAGAGAGATTTTTTCTACTGGCGGTGTTGAAAGAATGTAAGATGGGATTTTAAACGGAAAACGGAGGGGGACCAACCATTTATTCTTTTCTTTGGGTTTGCACGGGCCGTTATCTATAAATGGCACCTTTTTTTTTTCTTTCTCCATCCCTTCTTTTCACGTTAGGTCGCTTAAGGGTCTCGACCGTTCCGGAGCATGGCACGTTTCGTTGCACAGTGCGTGTTTTCCCGGTGATACCAACAATCTAGACAATCACCCGTCATACCAATCATGATGGAAGATTTTGGTCTATTTCCTGAATCATTACTTGATTTCCACCTCCTGCAGATAATCCTCCCCATTTTTGTATAAATCATAAAGGCCGGAGATGGGTTCGATAGATGCTCAGGCTTCTCAACCAGCAGTCACACTTCCATGACCGCCATACGTAGAGGTAGCGACTATTGCTCAACCGAGGAGTAACGAGGTGATTGACCACAGGAGCGTCGATATTAAGCTTAAAAGGTATTCTAATGAACATAAAGTGAGCTATCAGAATATAAATGCTCGGGCACTAGGTGACAATATGGAATCCACAGTAACATTCTCTAACGGGGTCAGGTTGATTATCACTTCAGAGGAGGTAATAATATGCTCTGAAGGGACGCAGATCTTTCCACTAACTACATGCATGGACGCCAGGTCTTCCTGTTAGCAATAGTGAAGCCACTGAGTTGTATCTTCCATACGTCAAGGAGCACTAGAAACCGCTCTCTATTTATCCTACTAAATCCAGGCCTTGTTCAAGTCAAGACATGCGTGAATCGTTGGAACATGTCAGGTTTCGTCGCATAGTGCATGGCTTTTCTCGGTAATACTGAGCCTGATTGTGAAATGTAGCATGTTAAACAATTGGTCGAGGATTGTAGAATGCCAATAGAGTATCAGAAATAGACCCAATATGTAAAAGTATTTAGCATCTGAATCTCTTTAAGGCCTGGTTTACCATAGCTAGAATGTTCAAGTTGTGTCGTTTTTTTTCTTCAAACTTGATGCTTCCAGGGATGGATAGCTCGCTTACAACCTGGCACACCGGGCGAGTTTGCGTAATTGGAATACGGTAGTATTGGACAGCAAGAAATCTGACGATAACAACATGATCGTGTGCTATTTACCGTGATGAGAAAAGAAGTCCTATTATGGCCTTCAAATGCTTGTGGTGGTAGAGACTGTTCAGGCTACATAATCTTTTATCCTACCGCATCAACTCAGCGAAGTAGACCAAGCGTCCCTCACCCTTGTTATGTCTCAATTACAACTAATTGGCTATTATATGGTCGGCTACTCAGAAGATACGCCTTGCTGTTAATAGCAATTGCATAGCCTCCAAGGAGAAGCGAGCAATGGTAAACATATCCACGGATTCGAGCCGATTCGCCGAGTCAATACGGCGGTTCGAAAGCCAATCTTTGCTTCAATCATTGGCACCCAGGTCAAGGGGGAAAAAAAGATACCAATATAAATATCCATATTTATATATCCTTCTCTAAATATAATTAATAAAAGAAAGAAAAATAAAGAAGAAGGCTCTAAAGTATTACTATTATTATGATATATTTCTTAAAAAAATCATTATACTTATAGAAAATTATTTACTAAATCTTAGATGAGTTAGTTAATCCTCTCTGCCGGTCTGGTATCTCGTTTATTTCTTGACCAGCGTGGTTGGATCCCTCAACCAATGTCTCAACTGTCGATCAATCCTACGAAACCACGACATTTTCTCAGCAACCTGTGAGCAATTCATCAGCTTTCTTCTGCTTCTCGAAGAATACAAGCTCGTCAGGCATCTCTTGCCACCAAATAACACGCGGCAAAGGAAACCACACATCATCCGTTCCAAGGCTAGGTGTGAGACGCGGCGTGCTATTGTCTACCGCCACCACTTGCATCCACACAAGCTCGCCAATCCCAAGGATCCAAACCAAGCCTCTTTGGAGAAGAGGTCCCCGCATTCTTTGAGATCCGGCGTCCACGGCGCGTAAGCTTCGGCGTCGCTGAGGTGAGCTTGGGGTCTGATTCCAAGCCAGAGGCGCATAAAAGGGCGCCCGACGTCCTGCTTTTTTGCAGACGTGATCATCCGTACAAATTCGCCAAACCCAGAAAATTAAGTAAAAATGACAGCAGACAAGTTCTCGTCGTTGCGAAAGGAACTAGTCAAGGGACGTCTTCTGGTCCCTGGAGACGATGGATATGAAGCTAGTCTCCAGCGATGGAGTCTTACCTGTGTCAAGCCAGCTGTGAGTTGAAACACTTCGAGCATCACGGCAGGGACTAACTTCAGATTCAGGCAGCCGTAGCCCAGCCCGCAACCGTTGAGGAAGCGAGTGCAGTCGTCAAATTCGCAACCGCCAATGGCATCAAATTCAATGTCAAGGGCGGCGGCCACAGTACCTCGCAATCCTCCAGCTCCCCCTCCCCCGAGGGCATGGTCCTAGACCTAGCTCTTATGAGGGACGTTTCGGTAGATGCAGCCGTCAAGACCGTCTCATTTGGAGGAGGCTGTCTTTGGGAAGACGTTGATGATGCCCTCTGGCCCCATGGATTGGCGACCGTTGGAGGCACCGTTTCGCACACGGGCGTTGGCGGACTGATCCTGCACGGAGGATATGGCATATTGTCCGGCCTCCACGGGCTGGCTATCGACCAGCTGATCTCTTGCCAGGTTGTGCTGGCAGACGGAAGCATCGTTACTGCCTCTCAATCCGAGAACCCTGACCTCTTCTGGGCTCTGCGGGGCGCCGGCAGCAGCTTTGGTGTAGTGACCCAGTTCACCAGCAGAGTATTTCCACAGGGCGAGATCTGGGGTGGCCTCGTCATCTTGTCCAAAGACAAGCTTCCTGCCGTGGTCGATTTCCTCAACAAGTGGGAGGAAACCAACGATGGAAACCAGGCCTTCATCGCCAGCTTCGCCCATGCGCCTCCCGGCCCGGATCCAGAGGCCCCTCGTCCTCTAGTGAACATCGTTCAGATGGCACATGTTGGAGCAAATGCCGTCGAAGATGGACCCAAGTACTTTGCCCCAGTGTTGGAGCTCGACGCGCTCATGAAGCAGATTGGGCCTATGCCCTATCCATCAGTCAACAAGGGCGGAGACGCCATGTTTGCTGCAGGTAGCCGATATATGTTTGGTGGCAGCAACTTCACCCTCCCTCTCAAGCTGTCAACCGCTGAGGCAATCCGCGATCGTTTCGAGGCATTCATCGACGAGAACCCAAGCGCCAAGGGTAGCATGGTGGTCCTCGAATGCACTCCCCACGGCAAAATTCGATCAGTCCCTATCGAGTCGACGGCCTTCAACTCGCGAGGCAACTACTACAACATCGGTATCGTGTGGAAGTGGGAGGATGAAAGCCTGGACAAGAAGATCCGCGAGTTCAACCGCGAATACCAGAAGGCGGCCCGTGACCTTGGCTATAACGACGCAAGCCTCAAGGACGGCGTGGGCAACTACATCAATTACGTTAGCACTGACGCCGTCTCAGCAGAGAATGCATTCGGGGCAAATGCTAGGCGACTGAGAGCGCTGAAGAAGCAATATGATGCCGACAACGTCTTTGACAAGCTGTGGAAGCTGTTGGGAGAGGTTGAGGAGCAATGGGTGGCCTAGGATGACACAATACGCGGCCAAATTGGTTAAAGTTTTTAATTCAATGAGAAATGAAATTGTCTTGAAAGAGGGGAGATGAAGGAATTGGTCAAGGTGATGAGGGTGGATGTAAGTGTGTCTCACGGCGTGCCTTCCAGTTTGGTGCTGTGTTGTGTTACTGTGTGGCTAAGGCCACCACAGAAATCGCGTCGCGCCTCCAAACCCAGCTTCCGTCTTTCATCTTCCAACCTCACCAACCAAGAATCATTGGCATGCTATTCTCCTATCGCACTATATTCAAACCTGTCGCTCGCCTCAATCTTCAGGTTCCTTCTTCTTGCCGGCCGAACCCTCAATTGAACCGGCCTGAAATCCTAGGGCGTGTTGCAACAATGGCTTCCAAGACCGCCATCGCTTCTGCAAACGAGATCACCATCGACGAGTTCAACCAGCTCCTGAGCCAGTACCCGGCTCTCATCAAGGATATCTCCAGTACCAAGGGTGGTATGTCGTTTGATTCGCGCTCTTGGAAGCTGTGCTAATTCGGGTGTTGATGACTGCAGCCAAACCTGGTCAGAAGACCTTGGAGGCGCTTGATGAGTATCGTTACCATGACGCGTTGGATATATTCAGCCCTGGCAAGGACACCCCAATGAAGCTTGATGACATCAAAACCCTTGTTGAGTGGAAGTTGTAAGTGCAGATGCGGCTGATCAATCATGTAAGGATGGATCTGACCGTTTTACAGACGTCACGGAAAATTCAGGCCAACACTGATGAAGCTTGTGTCTTCAAATGATGCCGACACGGCTGAAGATATCGTCAAGCAAGCCATTGATGCCTACAAGGAGGACGCCGACATCGACGCGGCCCTTGGCATCTTGACAAAACTCAAGGGCATCGGCCCTGCAACTGCATCTCTCCTCCTGGCCGTTCATGATGCAACTCGGGTCATCTTTTTCGCCGACGAGGCTTTCTGGTGGCTATGTTGCGATGGAAAGCAGAGCCCTATCAAGTACAACGCCAAGGAGTACCGCTCCCTTTGCTCCGCGGCCAACGATCTACACGAGAGACTTGACGTTGCAGCAAGTGACGTGGAAAGGGTTGCCTATGTGTTGATGAAGGGACCAGCTTCACCCAAGTCATCAGACCATGTGGTGCCCTCCAAGGAGGCCAAGAAGAATAGGGCACCATCTTCGACGAAGCGAAAGCCTGACACCAGAGTTGAGAAGGCCGGCGATGCAACCCACGACGCCCCTGTCCTTCGTCGATCGAAGCGAGTCAAGGCTTGACTGAGCTGTCAGCCACCTACGACTCATCGGCAGTCGCCCAGCTGCACACCCGGATCCATGACATTGGAAACTCATCCTATTAGCCCACAAGGCTCTATCAACAGAGAATGCCGTGTCTTCCAGTTGGCAGCTGATCATTCAAGACGTACGACACCCGCAGCTAAATCTGCGTCATTCGGTTCCGGCCCCCAGATTACTCTATTAGGATATAGCTGGAAGACTCAAGATACCTCATGCGGCAACACCGGATCTCCGGCCCGTCATGGCGGTGAGCATCCGAAGAATAACAACTCCAACCGAAGAATTCCCGCCCCAAGAACAACTATCGAGAGAACTAGCCTACCTAGACGTTACGATAAAGATAGCATCGTGGAGTCCGACCCATCAGAACGTGCGCCGCTGCGGGTTGCACTCAACTATTATAAATCCAACACCGCCCCACGAAACGCCCACTATGACGGGCTTTCCCCCATAGACGGGCAGAAGCTCTCGCAATTAAAAGGCTCTGACCGTGTTTCGTCAGCCAAATCCTGGGTTCAACATGGCGTCCAATGGTCACCACCGACATGGGCCCTCAAGTAGCATGTTCGCCCAAACCACTGAAGCTCTACCGCTTCCCTCCCGTTTTGCACGAATCAAGCGGGGCTTGGTTGCTGGCAAGGAAGACCAGATCAAAGCCTCATGGACGAGACTGCTGGTCAAGCTCAAGACAGAAATCGACATTGTTGCCAGCAAGGGCCCTGACATTTTCCCATCAATCGAATTTGATCATCTCAAGAAGGACTCCGAAGCTGCCGAATTTTCATCACAACTCAAGGAACGGGGCGTTGCTGTCATACGGGGTGTTATCCCTCGGGATGTTGCTACCCAGTGGAAGACAGAAACGGATCAATACTTGAAGGAGGACCCGCGAGCACAGCGTCTTCCCACTCATGATCCGCATCTTTACGGAATATATTGGTCCCCTGCCCAAATCAAGGCTCGAGGCCATGAGAATGTACTCTATACCCAGCGTTTCCTCATGAACCTCTGGCGATCATCCGACCCGGCAGCACTTGTCAGTCCCAACTTTCCCGTCAGCTATGCCGATCGCATGAGAATCAGACACCCCGAGGATGAAACGTGCTCCCTGAGCGTCTACGTCGACGGCGGGAGCGTGGAACGGTGGGAGTCCGACGGCTACGGCTCGGCCGGAACATATCAGCGCATCTGGGACGGCGAATGGGAGGAGTGGGATCCATGGGAGAGCAGCACTCGCCTCAAGGTGACGAGCGATCTGTACAACGGCGATGGCTCGTGTAGCTTGTTCCGCATGTTCCAGGGTTGGATATCACTAAGTGACCTCCCTGTTGGCGAAGGCACCCTCCTCTTGTGTCCCATGATACGGCTCACAACTGCATATCTCCTCCTCCGGCCATTCTTTGTTCCCAATGAGTCCTCCCCAACACACCCAAGCTTCCTTTCTCCAGACAACTGGACTCTTGAACAGCCTCCCTCGTCTGTCATCCAGGGCGCCCTCCCCGCATACCCCCAAGAACTCAACGAAGCGTTCCACCCTCACCTCCAACTCAACCGTAGCATGATCCCCATACCCAAGCTCGCCCCGGGCGACTATCTTGTCTGGCATTGCGATGCTGTTTATGCCCTAGACCGCCTCAGTCGTCCAGATCTACCCACGACGGCGATCCTATACCTCCCCGCCTGCCCGCTGACCCAGACAAACGCGCTCTACCTGGTCCGCCAGCGCAAGGCACTGCTTCACGGTGAATCTGGTCCCGACTTTGGCGGTGCTCGCGCGGGTGATCTACCTTTAGAAGCAGAAGAGGCGGTGCAAAAGGTCGGCGAGGCCGGAGGTGCCGACGGGATGCGTGCCATGGGCCTGTTGCCGTGGGACGAGGATGATGCTCGGGACGATTGCGAGTTTTCAGTATTGGAAATGGCGAATGGTATTTTGTTTCCGGAAAAGTACGACATGGATTATTAAAATCGGGTTGGACAGAAGGCAGCTTGACCAAATAATGCTGGATACCCTAGTTTATAGCGATGGCCATTTTGTTATCAACTTCACTTTACTATTGGCTTAGACACCAACAAACAAACAAGTTTGGTCAAGAGCAATGACACTTCACAGAGGTAGATTTACTATTCCTGATAATTCTATCCTTCTGAGAAATTGAATACAATCTCAAATTGTCGATCGATCGATAGCCTAGTACGCGCCAAAATCGTCAACTTTGCGCCGTTGCTTATCCGTAACTTATGCCCGCCCGTTGTTTTGCGTCCTCTGCTACATATAACCCTGGTCTGTAGTTTTCTTCATGTACCCTGAAAGGTGCTGGCCTGACGTGGCCTCTGATTCTCCCTGTGATCGGTAACGACACTGGATCCAGTGCCGGTTGATCCATTGGCAGGATCCCTTCAAGGGGAATTGCATGTCATAGACATGGCTTAGATACCCTTCTTACCCTCACCAGTCTGCTGAGTGGCAGCATACTTGTCGCTAAGCTCGTCATAGCTCTTGTGAAGCTGCGTGCTCTGCTTCTTGAGGTTCTGCAGGTCCTGGTCCTTCTTCTCAAGCTCCTCCCGGAGACGGGCGAGCTCACCGGGCTTTCCAGCGACAGCCAGCTTCTCACTCTCCTTGGCGTTCTGCTTGGTGCCCTCGTAGGCGCGGACCTTGTCCTCGAGACGCATCACCTCAAGGATCATCACATAGGTACGGTTGAGGATGAGCGAAAGGAACAGGGTGAAGCCGCAGAGGTACATGTTGCGCTGCGAGTAGAACTTGCGGGCTTGGACTTCGAGACGTTCGTGACCCATGACGGCGGCGCTATAGTTACATAGTTAGCGAGGTTCATGGAACTTGGAGCTTGGAGTAGTTGTAGGACAGAGAAGGGGAGCAATTTGTCACGTACCCTCCCTGCTTAGACTGTTCTGACGCGGCGATGAGTTCAAGCTGAACGCGGTAGACCCGGTTGACGCTGTCGATAAAGAGGATCAGGATGAAGATGAAGGTAATCTTCATCCAGTACTGGATCTTGGCGACGACGGGGTTCTCGGAGATGAAGCTGCAACAGTCAGTTCAAAGCTATCCAACAACACAGGGACGAGCAGACACGTACGTAAAGATCTTGCGCTTAACGTTGAAGGGAAGCGGGATGATCAGGAGCATGAACAGCGCCATCTCAAACACCAACAACAAAAAGACCTGAACCACGCAATTAGCAACAGGATATCACGACGACCGCACAGCTCCTAGTAGGCAGCACGAGAACGGTTCTCTTAGGATATGGGAGCGCATACGAGAGTGTAGTAGAGCGTCATGGCGACGGTGGAAGTCGAGGAGGGGTAGAAAACAAGGGAGGAAGAATCGGAGCTGAAGATGGAGGCCTCGGATGGCGGGGGACGCGAGCAAAGAGTCGAGTCGAGTAGAGCGTATGTGCGAGAAAGAGTTATTGAGTGTTTGAAAGAAAAGAAGCTCTTTCGTAACCTGGAAGGTCAGTGTATTTGTAGGAGGAGGAAGAGGAAGAAAGGTGGTCAGTTCAGCCTGGCATGAGCAAGCTGTCCTACGTAGGTGGACAAGGTAGGTAGGTAGGGAAGGTACCTGCCTACCTACCTACCAAGCTACGTAGCGCTTGCTGCTTCCGTCGTTTTCGAATCGACAACGTCATCGTTTGTGGCTGGAGTGCGGGCCGCGGATGGTGGGGCATTCACAACTTTCTCAGTTGTGGCTTGTGCAATCTGTGTGTTTTATGTCACAAGCATGCAATTATTCATAAACATGATGTCACTGACGCCATCACCATCGCGATCTATCCAGGCCTTGAAGCAACAAAGATGCGATTGCATTCAAGAGAAAATGAGCCCTAGTATAGCTATAGCGAGATAACCATCTGCCATGGCTACCTGTTCTTTCACCTTTGGCTCTCCCCCAATCTATACCTAACCACCCCAAATCACAAATAGCATATTACGCATAGGATACACACCATCCCTCAATTATCTTACAACAATCCCTTCCTTGACTTTGAAACTGTTCCCATCGTCCGTTCCTATGACCATGACCCATCATCCCGGGCTTTGGCCGAAGGACGTCGATATCTCCTCGATCGGACAATCACGTCTGAATCGTCATCGTCGTCGTCTTCGTCGTCTTCTACGCCGCCATTATCCCTTCTTTCAAGCTGACTATGCAGCATAATCTCGTCCCTAATATCACCGCTGTAGTCGTTATCTTCCACACTGTCATCAATTTCCGTCGACTGCGGCTGCGATTGCGGGTGTGAATTGGACTGCTGTTGTGGCTGGAGCCCAAGCGCCGTCACCACTGGCTGGGTCACTGTCGTTGACGGCACCACAATCTGGGCCTCCTCCGGCGTTGGCGCCTTGGACTCTTCTGGAATCGTGGCCGGGACCGGGGCCGGGGCAGGCTTCGGCGCCGTGCGTGGGTACTTTCTAGGCCTACCACTTCCGGGTCTGGCGCCGCCCCGTTTGCCCCGTGTCTTGGGCTCTCCTCGAGGCTTGCCCGCTTGCTCGGCTGCTGATTTCGGTACTTGTCGCGTTCGCTTTCGCAACCTTCCTCCGGCCTTACCTGAGGCAAAATCAGACTCGCCAGTCGACGGTGTCCCTGCCCGGGACGTCGCATCCGTTCCAGTTGGCTGGTACTCCTCCTCCTCCGAGTCGTTGTGCGCTCCACGCTTGCGCTTGCGGTCTGACTGAATTGCGAAGCCAGGGCTATCCATCATCGTCAGGTCCTCGTCTTCGAGGGCGAGGCGTGCAGCCTTCTTGCCCTTTGCTGGCTTCTTCTTGTCCGCCTTGGGGGCTTTCCTGGCCACTCCCTCATTCGGCCGCCGTGTCCGCTTCTTGCCCTGGTCAGACTTCCCTCCCACCTTATGGTCGAGGAGCTTCTTGGTCAGGTTGGGGAAGTTCTCGCCATAGTTGAAAAACAATTCCTCGCCGACCTCAATGTCACGCATGGCAGTGAACTTGATCCGGTACTCGCCATTCACGTAGAGAATCCGGGGTGTGATGTTGCACCCGCGCTTGTCGCTCTCTGACGCGTGGTTGATGTAACGGCTAAGGTTGCCATAGATGGCTGCGTCGACCCAGATGCCTTCGTTCTCTAACAATGTAAAGACGTACGAGATGTTAGATTCTTCGTCAAAAACGTCGCCTCGTCTGGCTTCTCTGCGGACACCTTCGTCGTGAGTGATAAGTTCCCCGACATACTCGATAATAAAATCATCCTGCGCGATGAACTCGGCAGTGAACAGACCATATCCGACTCCCTCAAGCTGGCTTTGGCCCAAAGCAAGACCTTTGGGAAGACCACGTTGCAACGAGCAGTTCTGGCAGCCCGTAGAATGGAGAATATCATCTTCGGCGTTCTCGGGGTCGGCTCTCTCCAGTGCGCCACAGTTTCCACAGAGATCTGGATCGCACTCACGGTTCAACTGCACACAAATACACGGCCGGTCCTTTTGTTTCGAGAGACAGGTCTTGCCTTGCGAGTGACAAGCGCAGCCCGTGAACTTGTACGCGCAGCTTTCCACCGTGCAGCCACAGAACTTTTCGCAAAGGAGCCCGTGTTGTACACACGTGCAACTTTCCAAAGTGCATGGCCCTTCGTGAGAGCATGGCTCAGACAGTTCACGCCGCTGGTGTTCATGGGTGATGGTGTGGTTTTCCCAGTCGCCGATAAGTGCCTTCTTGAAGCGATCGTACCATGAAACAGTCCGAATCTGTGTCTTGTTAACAGGCTCGGCGGTAGGCAGAGAGACGCCCATACGTTCGTACTCTTGGAAAACATCGGAACAGTCGCGGTCGAGAAGATGGGCGATAAAGCACAACGGATCCCTCTTGACTCGACTTCCGTCGGTCGTCGCAACCGTGGCTCGCAAGACGGTGCGCTCCTCTTGGGTCCAAGGTCGATGATCGGGGTTCAGGGACGAAGGGTTTGGCGTTTTGTAGCAGTCTCGTTTGCATGGACCCAGACCGTGGCTGTTCCCATTGACATGGTGAGCTCCATCGGAAGCAGCGCGTCTGCGTCGCTTAAGGGTGTCTGAGAGACGAGGCATGATCGAAACGGTGCGTTTGCAATTCTGAGCGTCATACTCTCCGTGCTCACAAGAATGGCTAAAGCAGATAAGACAACCAAGAATGCAATAAGTTCCAAGTTCATACTCGGCCACCTCAAACTCGTTCTCGTTCTGGGAGCTGGAGCCGTCCTTGGCAGTTGGTTTCGAATCCATGATGCTGTCAACCGACTCGTCGAGAAGGAGGACATCACGTAGCGCGATTTGTTTTGTGGGCGATTGACCCTGGTGAAAGACACGGTGGAAGGCTTCGGTGAACATCTCGGCGGCTCTGTTGGCTTCGGGCGGGGTAGTAGACTCTGCTGGGCGATGCGAATTGAGAATGTCGGACTTTTGTCGAGGGGTGATTGCATCGTCGGGTGCTCGGCTTGCCATGTAGCGAATCAAGGTGGACTTGTTACAGCCAGGGAGCGCAAGCTTGTCCAGCCAGTCTTCGAGGTAAAGAGAGACGGTCGAGGCGAATTCTGAGCGGACGGTAACGCGCACCTTTTCTTCTCGGCTCATGGGCTTGAACCCCGATTTGCGGTCAATATCCTCCAGCTCCTGCAACCAGACATTGTACTTTGACTCTTCAGAACTCTCAAGATCCCTCAGATGGGGGACAAAGGTCAGCATTGTGTTTGGTGTGAGGACATTCTTTTTGATTTCAACATGATGGAACCGGTATCGGGGGACACGTTCTTCATCAGTCTGGATGCGCTGGATAAGATAGTGATCTTCTCGTCTGTTGCTCTTCATCTTGGAGTGCTCCTACACCATGACATTAATATCAAACCGCCTCACAGTGGTTGGAGGGTCATTACTTTGAATTTTATTCTCATAGTCTCACCCTTTTGGACTGGCACAGGATTGCTGGCGAGTCCAGCGAAGAGGTCATTGCCCGTATGAACACGACGTTCTGTAGCTTGGGTAGATTCAATGATGTAGGACGTCATTCGTGCATGACCATCCTTGATGTCTTGGCGAAAGGTCGTCAAGGTGCGGGCGATGCCAGCGACATCCCATTCTGGCTTCCTAGGCGTTTGATATTTGGGAGGCGTGGCTTTGGCTTGCTGGCTTTGCTTGGGAGAGTGACGCTCAAGGGGCGGCGTTACCTGTCGAGGCGGCGGGTTGGTAGGTCCGACACCAGACAGTCTTGCCATGTCTGCGGCATTGTCGACACTAGAGCTTGTCGAGGTCGTCTTGGGTGCTGGCCTGGCCACCGTGGGCACTGAACGGGCTGGCTCGAACGAGATGTTGCCACCTTGGCTGGTGTTGGCAACCACAGGTCGCTTCAGCTGGGGCGGGCTTATGGGCCTGCGGATGGTACCGGTACCGTGATGGATGTTTGTCACCGGCGGGCGACCAGCAAAAGGGTCGAGATCAAATCTGGCGGTGGTTGTGTCTGCGCGCTGCGATAGATGCGGCGATGATCTTTGGGGAGGAAAGATGCGAGCGTGAATTGCGTGGCCTTCAGAGTCGCTCGACTCCAAGGTCAAGTCGATGTGGTCGACAGGTGCCATGGCTGCGGCTGACAACTTTGTCAAGGTTTTTTTAGGATTGCCCCTCGCCTTCACTTGCAGCTGCAACCATTCTGCGGGGGTAACACTTCTGCCTTGGGGAGTCGGGAAGGAACAAGGGAATTATGCAGGATAAAGTTTGCTTTGAGCTGGCAGTTGTAGGTTGAATGAAGCGGGAGTTTGTCCTGCGCTGAGGAACGCGTGTGGCCGAGACGAGAATGCAGGGCCCGAGAGAAGAGCAGGTAGCGCCGTTAAACGCGAACAAGACGATCCGATGCGTGCTTCCTACCCAGTTAAATCTGGCGCCGCGAGCTAATGATGCGCGAAATATGATATTTGCGACTCGCGATGTTGTGTTGTCGTCAAGATTCGAGGTGAAAGTAAGTGGTGAATGAGTGTCCAACACACGCGTTGAGAGGAGTCTGCAGGGGCTTGACAGGGGCGCGCGTTGACCAACAGGGTCTAGCGCGAGTGTGGAGGCCGCGCTTTTCTCGATGGAGCAATCATTTCCTCCGGCTTATATATCCAGACAGGATATTGAACGTTTGAGCAGAATTAAATGATGGGATGAGTTGTATCCTCGGTTTGCTTGAGCTTACTACTATCTTGCTATGGATCTTTTTTCTATTCGATTATTGTAGATTGCGCAAGGCTTGTAGTCGAAAGGCTGGACCTCATGCGCAAGGTTGACTTCTTGTGGCGCAATTTGATAACTCCCTCGAAGTCTGTGATTGAATGATGAGTATATTTAAATAAAGAAAACTCAATGGAAATAAAGGGAACACGTGAAGGAGGCTCTGCTAATGAGTATTCCCCTTGGGCTGTAATGCTTATCGCTGGGCTTCAGCTCCATACACGGTCTACTTGAATCCATCGGAATCCCCGGATCAGGATACCTGTAACTTGACTTCACCAACAATGCTAACCCACCATAGCCAGAGGAAGAGTGCGCCCAGGGGAAGTTTACCCAGTGCCAGGTGTCTAAATAAAGGAGAATAAACATCAGATAGTCAACTCCCATGCAAGAAGTTGCATTCCTATCCTTCCATGCCAGCATTGGAACTGCACTGGTCGTTTACCCTGAAGCCTCGTGTGCATAAGTAATGCCACAACCTCTGCTGAGCCTCTACAAATTGGCCCATGCCTATTCAGGTGCCGTGTTCATCACCAGATGAGACCCTGTTTCATGACTGACATCAACACCAAGCATCCAAGCATGGACATGATCCGCTGGGTCCGATGCCTGACCCCTTCTTTCGGCCTGGGAACTGCCGGGGGACATTCGATTCAGGAGCCCGTCACCCACCCACAGACGCTCAAAGGACCCCAATATTTGGCTTCAATTCCGTCATACTTCATCTTAGACGCTGACTAGCGCCCAAAATGACCGAAGCTTGGTGGCTGCAAGCCGCATGCGGGATGGCCAGCCAACTCAAGGGAAGTCCAGTCCCGGATGCGCAGGTAGGGATACTTGGCGGCCAAATCGAACGACGTAGACCTGAGACATGCTCGGGATCCGGTAGTGATACTTCACCTCGTAGCAAATATTGGTCAATCTTCTCGTACAAGTACTTTCTCCCTTAGCGCCCGCCCGTCACTCAGCCTTGGTCGCAATTCTGACGATGTGGAGCTTTGATGACGTCGCCTTCAACCTGCCAGCCAAAAGGTGACGATCTTGTTCTCCGCAGCAACAACACCACCTCTAGGCTTGCCAGGTTTTGGGTTTTTCTCATATAACGTTCCCCGGCAGCCCGGACTCGATCATCCTTCTGTGCCTTCTCCGACATCTCACCCTTGTTTCTCAGTGCTGCAGCTGCCCATCAACCCACGTTTATCCCCACCCAGTATTACTTATCCCCTGCGTCTCCGCGTCTGTCGAAACAATCTGTCAGCTCCACCGCCTGTCGCATCATCGCCATCAACATGCACCGCACCTATTCTATGCGCCAGACCCGGGCGCCTACTGCCTCCCAGCTCCAGGTATGTCTGATCTGATGAAGCGCGTCACGGAGCGAGAGCTGACCTCATTCCATAGAACCCTCCCCCTCCTCCGTCATCGACAAAGTCCGGCCGTCTCTTCAAGGGTAGCTTCGGTAAGCTTGGGTTTGCCCCGCGACGAATTCCTCGAATTTAACAACTCTCGTCCTACAGGACATGCCCTTCGTCGAAATGCCGGCGGTGCCTTCGGGCCCGACCTGGCTAAGAAGCTCTCCCAGTTGGTCAAGATGGAGAAGAACGTGATGCGCAGTCTCGAGACTGTCGCCCGCGAGCGGATGGAAGTGGCAGTATGTTCATGATACCTTCACTCAGGATGAGGTACTAACCTTGATAGCAACAACTCTCCATCTGGGGCGAGGCCGGCGACGAAGATGTCTCTGACGTCACCGACAAGCTTGGTGTGCTGCTCTACGAAATCGGCGAGCTCGAAGACCAATACGTGGACCGATACGACCAATACCGAATTACGATGAAGAGCATCCGTAACATTGAGGCGTCGGTGCAGCCCAGCCGCGACCGTAAGAATTGCACACGCCTGAAGCTTCGAGGTAACACTACTAACGCCAATAACAGGCAAGCAAAAGATCACGGACCAGATCGCCCAGCTCAAGTACAAGGAGCCCAACTCTCCCAAGATCGTTGTCCTCGAACAGGAGCTCGTCCGAGCCGAGGCCGAGTCTCTCGTCGCTGAGGCCCAGCTGTCCAACATCACTCGCGAAAAGGTCAAGGCCGCCTACACATACCAGTTTGATGCTCTGCGCGAGCACTGTGAGAAGGTCGCCATCATCGCCGGATACGGAAAGCACCTCCTCGAGCTCATTGATGACACCCCAGTCACTCCCGGCGAGACTCGCCAGGCTTATGACGGATACGAGGCCAGCAAGGCTATTATTCAGGACTGCGAGGATGCTCTCACCAACTGGGTTACGTCGAATGCTGTTGTCTCGTCCAAGCTCTCGACCCGCGCACGAACTCTGTCGCAGCGACGCCGAAACAACATCCGTGCTAGGAGCGAGGGACATGATCTCTCTGGCCAGGACGTCCCTCTCAACGACGGAAGCTCCTGGACGGCACGAGACCATGACCTTGAGAGCGACGAGGAGGACGAGGAGGATGTCCGAGGCTCCATTATGGACAGTGATGGTGGCTTGAACGGCGAGTCCCGTGGACGCACCCAGGAAGTTGCCGCCGCTTAGAGAAAGTCGCCGGTGCGGAATGGGAGCGTAGGCAGAAGAGCCACACTCGATGGGAGAGCACCGAACGGCTGTTGTGATATGCTCTCCTAGGCTTTGTAATGACGGGAATGCGACCTAGGTTGCATGAGGCGTTGAGGATGGCTTCTGGCAGGATGGATTGTAAAAGGCTGATTGGGCACTTTCTCTTGTAGTAGCCTTTTTGCTGTATTTTTAGCCACTAATATTATGTTCTCATTGATATCATCATCATCAAATCTGGTTCCTCATTTGGCTCGCAAACTCCTCAACCTCCATCTTGACGATGTGATGTCCAGGCACCACTACTAGTCCCAGATAGCGGGAGCTCATGTCAAGCTTGATTGTCTCGCCACCGGCCTTTTCGGCTGCCTCTGCACGCTGCCTAGATGACGGTTGCCGGTACTCGTATGTATGAGCAAGAACAATGTTTCTGTCCTTTGCCCTCAAATGTCAGCCAAATGCCAATGGAGTGACGCCCGAGTTGGAGGGGTCTGAGAGACATACAGGGTCGGTGCATTTTAGAGCACCCCAGAATAGGCGACCATCTGTGGTGTAGACACGCAGGTTCTTGTTTAGAATACCTGATAGGTATTCTCGAGCCTGATCCGAGTCCATTTCCACAGGCGGCGAATTCAATAGAGGGCGTGGTAGAGTTGGACAAGGTCCAAGGTGACGTGGGGGAGCCGCGGGCTCATTCTCTGAAGAATTAGACTAGGTAGAGCCACCATTCGCCAGTGGATTAGCCGCGATAGGCCCACGCTGACGTTATGCACAGGCACTGGCGCGACGGCTTAGGGAGAGCGTGAAAGCTCAATGGTTGCCTACAACTTCTTCCTTCATTCTTCCTCCTTCACATTCATTCACCTTTGTCCTCGGCCTACCTGGTCTTACTCGACTAGGCCGTGCTAGATCATGATCATAGACTTTGCGAGACGAGGGCCTTACCCTTGAAGACCAGGCTTCGTGCCTCCCCGACCCTGCGCCTGTAATTGTTCGTCAAGTTCACGGTAACACTCCGCCATGGGTGTTAACGGCCTCTGGACCGTTATCCAGCCATGCGCTCGGCCCACGAACCTCGCGACTCTCAATCGCAAGCGTCTCGCCGTTGATGCATCGATCTGGATTTACCAGTTCCTCAAAGCTGTGCGCGACAAGGAAGGAAACGCCCTGCGCAACTCGCATGTAGTTGGTTTCTTTCGTCGCATATGCAAGCTCCTCTGGTTCGGCATCCAACCGGTCTTTGTCTTTGATGGTGGCGCCCCCGTTCTTAAGCGCCAGACGATCCAACAGCGAAAGCGAAGACGAGAAGGACGTCGCGAAGATGCTGTTCGAACCGCCGGCAAGCTGCTCGCCGTGCAGATGCAGCGCATTGCGGAAGAGGAACAAGATCGGAGGCGACGGGACAAAGATCGCGATGTCTCTGCCCGAGAAGAGGAGCAGCAGGAGGAGATTCCCGATGTCAGCCAACTAGTCTACGAGGACGAAGTACTCCTATCTCAGAAGGAGAGACAAAAGGCCAGAACATTTCGCAAACAAGATGCCTACCATCTACCGGACCTTGACGGAGGCGGTATTGCCGCAATGGGGAAGCCTGAAGACCCGCGAATCATGAGCGTAGAAGAGCTGGAAGAATACGCGCGACAATTCCATGACGGAGAAGACATCAATCTATACGACTTTAGCAAGATTGACTTTGACGGCGAGTTCTTCAAGAGTCTGCCACCCCCGGATCGATACAACATCTTGAACGCAGCGAGACTTAGAAGTCGACTGAGAATGGGTCTTAGTAAGGAACAGCTGGACGACATGTTTCCCGATCGGATGGCATTTTCAAGATTCCAGATTGAAAGAGTCAAGGAGAGAAACCACCTTACTCAACGCCTGATGCTTGAGGTTGGAATGACTGGGTTAGATCTGACTATCGGTGTCAACGCACGTGTTGCTGGCGAAAAGAACAGAGAGTACATTCTTGTCAAGAATGAGGGTGCCGAAGGTGGATGGGCCTTGGGCGTGGTCAGCAGGGACAAGGAGATTGGAGAAGCACACAAGCCAATTGATGTGGATGCCATCCAAGTTCAGTATCAATCCAAGGACGACGAAGATGAAGATGACGAGGATTTTGAGGATGTTCCCATTGAAGGCCTGAACAGGCTGCCAAAACCTTCGGCAGCGATGCTTGCCAGCGCTCAAGCAGCACAGGATATGGCTGCCCGACGCCAGCAACTCTACGATGGCCACCGAACGGAGCCCACTGCCAATGATGAAGAGTCACTCTTTGTAGGGGGCGATCTTGGGAATACGAATGACCTCTTTGAGGAGCCACCTCAGGAGGCACTACACACGGAAGAAGAAGACGACCTCAACAAGGCGATTGCTCTGTCGTTGCAAAACCAGCACGGAGTTGGGCAAGAATCAAAGGACGATGATGATTTCGAGGACGTGCCCATCGAGGCACCCAAGTGGACACAGAAATCCGTCGAAGCGCAAAAGCCCATCACAGCCAAAGGAGGCTCGATGATTGCGCATTTTGTCAACAACCGAGCCAATGCAGCTGTGCCAAAGCGACAAGAGCCTAGCACTGCTGCTGATAGCGATAGCGATGAAGACATGCAGACGGTTCTCGCCAAAGCCAGGATGAAGAAGCGTCCGCAACCCGTACCAATCGTTGAGAACAAGAAGAACCCGTTTGATGGGCCACTGCCTTTCCCTAAGCTGGATTGGGGCTCTTCTCTCTTTGGAAAAAAGACGACCCAAAAGGAGGATAAACATCCACAAGAAGCCCCGGCACCGGTAGAAGAAGTCGATGACATGGCAGGTGGCTTTGAGAGGGAGTTGGATGACGATGCCCCAAAGCCTCTGCCACCGTGGCTGGCAGACAACACAGACATCCGAGAGTCACTCAAGAAGCAGCAAGATGTGGAGCGTGAAATCAATGCAGCGGACAGACTGGCAGCCGAAGAGGAGGAGAGGCTTCACCGTCGGCAGATGCAAGATCAGCTCATTGAGATTGATTCTTCATCAGATGATGGGAGTGACATCGAGGTTTTGGACAAGCCACCGTCGCCCAAGAAATCAACACGAAACGTGCCAATCGTCATCAATGTTGACGAGAGTGAGCCAGATGCCGAGCCACAAGTACCATCTCCGCCTCAGGTTTTGGAAGTCAGCCCCGAGCCCGCTTCAAAGGAGCCTCAAGAACCCCTGCCTGACCCCGTGGCGCAAAGCCTCCCGGAACATGTTGGCCTGGATGAGATGGAACCCCAGGAGCAGGAAAAGGCTCGGCAGTCAGAGTCCCCTGAACCTGAATTTGAGGACGTGGTGCCAGTCGACACTACAGCCGAACCAACTGCGGCGAAGAGCCCTTCTCCTGTATTTGAGGATGTCCCCTCCCTTAGCGCGCCAGTGGAAGATGGGGCAGATAAAGAGACTGAGCTTCCAGATGATGGACTTTTCGACGATGTTGAGTACGACGAGTTCAGTGACCCTGGCGACGAAGAACTCATGGCGCAAATGGCCGAGGAAGCTGAAGAGCATGCTCGATTTGCCAGTGAGCTGAACAACAAGTCGGCGGAGCAGAACAAGGAGGACTATGAAAGAGAACTACGTGCCTTACGAGGCCAGCAAAAGAAGGACCGTCGAGATGCCGACGAGGTCACGCAGGTCATGATCACGGAATGCCAGGCTCTCCTTCGCCTGTTTGGCATACCTTACATCACTGCGCCCATGGAAGCTGAAGCCCAATGTGCTGAGCTGGTGCAGTTAGGGCTTGTCGATGGCATTGTGACCGACGACTCGGATACCTTTCTGTTTGGTGGCACCAGAGTCTACAAGAACATGTTCAACAGCAACAAGTTTGTTGAGTGTTATCTGGGAGGCGACCTCGAGAAGGAGCTGTCTTTGTCTCGCGAGCAGCTCATCTCACTTGCTCAACTTCTTGGTTCGGATTATACGGAGGGTCTGCCTGGAGTCGGACCGGTCACAGCAGTTGAGATTTTATCCGAGTTCCCTGGTAAATCTGGACTCGAGGACTTTCGCGATTGGTGGAAGGAAGTGCAATCGCAATCGCGGCCTAAGGAGGCCGATGCTTCATCCCCCTTTCGCAAGAAGTTTCGCAGGTCGCAGGGCACCAAGCTCTTCCTACCCCCTGGGTTCCCCAGCCCGGCTGTCTTTGATGCATACCTGAACCCAGAGGTGGACGACAGCAATGAGTCGTTCCAATGGGGTGTGCCGGATGTCGAGGGCCTACGGCAGTTCTTGATGGCAACCATTGGATGGAGCAAGGAGAGAACGGATGAGGTACTTGTTCCAGTCATCAAGGATATGAACAAGCGTGATCGCGAAGGCACGCAAAGCAATATCACACGGTTCTTTGGTGGCAGCGTGGGAGCGGGTGCCAAGGAGGCATTTGCGCCACGGCAGAAAGCCCAGGGAAGCAAGAGAATGGCTGCAGCTGTGGGCAGACTTAAGGCTAATGCTGCGGCTGGTGAATCATCAAGGGTCGCTGAGAATGGAGGAGGTAAGCGGAAACGGGCTTCGAGGAGGAATGCGATAGAGGTGGATGATGATGAAGATGCTGAAGATGTTGACGAGGAAGAAGAGGATGGTGCGGCCCAGACAACCAGAAAGCGAACGAGGGCGTCGTGAGGATTAATGGGAGATAGACACGATTTGTACATGTAAAATCTGACTGAATTCGGTGGCTGTTGTTGAATTTGAAGCTATTCACAACTCAATCAATGACATCATTCCTGATCGATTGGCTGATGAAGGCCGTTTCGAATGTCTATTGCAAGCCACAAGCCAAGGAAGGCCAGAAAACAAGCAAAAACTAGCTTTATCATTCGTTCAAGAAATGATGCTGTATGTTTATCTCACAACAGGTAGTGTGGAAATAACTCGGACTTGGAGTGACCGTTGTTGCAGCTGTCATTGACCGGGACAGCTTCCGACCCCTCCCTCCTCCACCTCCAAAGCTTCCTTCCCACAGCCACCTCCGCCGTCTCGGGCTAAACCACGGAAAAATCCCAACGTTTTCTCCCCAGCTCACGTGCCAATCATTACGCTTCTGGCGTGCGTTTGCGAAAGCGCCTCCCCCCCCCAAATGTTGGTGGTACAACTTCACTCCAACCTCTATAAATTCCCCCCAGTTGCTTTTGTTTCTTTGTTGGATTTTCTCGTCTCTCTTTGTGCGCGCGCACTCGTTATAACTGAACCCATGCCGTCCATGGATGAACGTGAGCTCGCCTCGCGCGTCAAGGCGCTCACAAAGTGCGTCGCTGCGAACGAACCCCCCGAGAACGCCATCAAGCTACTGGAGTCGCTGAAGAAGGATGCCTCCCCCACCGAGGAGATGCTGAGGGTACGTGGAAGACTGGGGATTAAAGCAAGAGGAGAGAGGCTGCGCTGGTCGCACATGTCCCTCTTGAGTATATAGATTTTCCCCTTTGTCGCGCGAGCCTGGTCTCTTTTGGTCTTGTCGCGCAAATGCGTGATCGCACCGGGGACCCGATGTGTGCGCCCCGTCCGGACATTTGCATTCGGCATGTTTTCTGCTGTCTAGACGACTTGTCGTCGTCTTCACTCTGTCCGTCTTCATAAACTAACTCTTGTGGTTTTACCGTCGATAGGCAACAAGGGCCGGTGTCTTTGTCGGCAAACTTCGCTCCAATTCCAACAAGGAGATCGCCCGCGCCGCCGCCGAACTCGTCACCAAATGGAAGAAGCTTGTCGAGCAAGAAAAGAATTCAAAGCTCCACAAGGCCAAGATGGGCTCACCTGCTCCCGCTCCTACGTCGTCTCCGGCTGCTCCGCCGCCATCGTCGTCCGGTGGCGCCAGGAAGGCTTTCAAGGGTGACCCCGAGAAGCGCAAGTACGACAGCGATGGTGTGGACATCAAGCGCACCGATTCCACCGTCCGCAACCAGTGTATCGGTCTCATCTACAACGGACTGGCTTATCGCTCAACCGCCTCCGAGTCCGACGTCATCGCAAAGGCCGTTTCTGTTGAGCACGCCGCCTACACTCGCAACAAGGGAGAGACACCCGAGTATAAGAAGAAGATTCGATCGCTGTTTACCAACCTCAAGAACAAGTCCAACAAGGACCTCGGCCGCCGTGTCATGAGCGGCGACATCTCGGCGGACAGGTTCGTGGTCATGACGGATGACGAGCTCAAGAGCGAGGACCAGCGCAAGAAGGAGGTTGAGCTGGAGAAGGAGAACATGAAGAAGGCCCAGGTGCCCATGGCGGAGAAGAGTATCAGCGAAGATCTCCAGTGCGGCCGCTGCAAGAAGAAGCAGGTCAGCTACACGCAGGCCCAGACACGAGCCGCTGATGAACCGATGACGACCTTTTGCGAATGCATGGCTTGCGGACACCGATGGAAGGTATGTTTACTGCTCACACTGACCTGGAAAGATGAAGCTCACATAGTCACAGTTCTCTTAAGAGGTTGATGTTGATGTTGGAGGGGGGCGTTTTATTTTGCTTTGCGCAGACAACATCTGCGTGCAAGCTAGCTGAGCTATACTACACATTGGAGGGTCATGGAGTTAACGGGAACTGGAGCGGCGACTTAAACATGTATCAAGAAGGAAAGATTACGGCGCGAGATACCTTTCTTCTCTCTTGTTTTCTTAACAACACACTACCTAGTTTTTTCTTCTTTAAAACGAGATCTGAAGGGTATTTCTGATTAGGTGCAAAAGTTTGGTGACAATAGACGTTGTAGTCGCTGTCCATGTCTCGATAACTCCCCAAACTGGATCCATGAATGCTCCAACGATGCCCTCAACTCAACAACCACAACGAAGCGTAATTGGTTTAGTGGTAAAATTCTCCGTTGCCATTCGAGCAGCGTCGGGGAGCCCTGGGTTCGATTCCCAGATTACGCATTCCTTTTGCTTTTTGCCATTCAATCCATGGCGGTATGGGTGGTTTCTTTTTGTATATGTCGCACGAGGGTGGTGGCATTCATTGCTGGGTGTTGGTGTTGGTGTTGGCTCGGGCGTGATGGGTTCTATCGAATAAGCCCCACCCGATCTCAAATCGTACTCGACACTCGCTTCTTGACATCAAATAACTTGGACAGATTCTTCTTTCTCTTGACTTGTTCATTCTTTTTCGGGTATCCCTAACTCGGTAAACAGGTTGGTCGCCTCGCTCTGACCCTCGCCCTCGCCCTCGCCCTCAAGCCCCTTCTCCTTGATGTGCTTCCAGAACTTGCTCAGATGTCTTGTTCCAGAGTCGCAGAGAATCGTCACGACGCGGCTCCCCGGAGGAAGAGTCATGGCGGTGGCAACGGCGGCGACACAGTTGACGGAGCTGCTGCTACCAACAAAGATGCCGTCGTGCTCGACGAGCCACCGTGCCATCCGGCATGCCTGCTCATCCGTCACACGTACAGCGTCGTCGATGAGCTCGCGGCCCGCCTCAAAATTCTCCGTCAGTCGTGTGATTCCAATGCCTTCGACCATGGTGTCGACCTGTTGCCGCCGACGGGTACCCTCTCGCTCTGTTGACGAATACATAACACCATGGCGGACCTTGTTGTACAAGCCACTGCCCTGCGGGTCAGCGAGGACAATCTTGAGATTTGTAGCCTGCTCCTCCTCCTTGAGATACTTTGCAACGCCGGAGACGGTCCCGCCAGTTCCTGCGCCAGCCACAAAGGCATCAATGTCGCCGTTGGTTTGTCTCCAGATCTCGGGTCCAGTCGCGTTAAAGTGTGCCTGCCAGTTGGCATCAGACTCAAACTGGTTCGCAAAGAAGCCCTTGCTGCCGTCATTGGCCTTTTCGGCGTGCTCCTCAGCCCGGCGTCGCGCAAGGTTGACAAAGTGATCGGGGCTGGTAATAGGTGCTGGTGTCACTCGCTCAACCGTTGCGCCGAGGTGCAGAAGTAGATCAGACTTTTCGAGGGCCATGTCTGAGGGCATGCAAATGTGGGCGCGGTAACCCTTTGCCCGAGCGAGCGTCGCAAGTGAAATACCCGTGCTGCCAACAGTGCCTTCGTAGATGGTATCGCCTTGGTGTGGCGTCAAAAGACCCTGAGCTTCGGCCTCATTGATCATGTTCAGTGCAACACGGTCCTTGGGACTGTTGCCAGCGCCGTTGAGGAACTCGGCCTTGGCCATGATGGTGCGGCCCGTGGCATCGGATAGAGACTGGATCTTGATCAGGGGCGTGTTGCCGATAGTGCCCTCTATGCCATGGGCTACGCTGTTGCGAGCGACATCATACGGTAATGGTGATGAAGTCTCCGACTCGTGGTCCTCGAGGGTGACAGGTGCACTCCAGAACAGACTCGACCTGCGTGAACCTCCCGAGTTTGCGCGGCGCTTGCGTTGGTACCTACGCTCGAGATCTGGGTAAAAGTCCTTGAAGCCGAGAGTGACGAGAATGCCTGTAGTAAAGGCAAAGACCACGGCGGCCGTGCCGTAGGCCTTGGGGTGATCGCTCAAGGACATTTTCAAGATCTTGGTTTATCGATGTAAAAAACCAAGCCTTTTTCGGGAAATTTCCCTTGAAGCTAAAATGCCCGCATCGTTGTTGCTGTCGCTGAGTCGTGAGGTTGAAGTGAAGATGGAAATTGTTAGTTACAATGACGAGACTCTGGTGCGTGCGCCCGTGATGTCATGTGGAGCCCTAGTCTTGTACCGGCGCCATCATCTCGTGATGACTTCAAGTCGAAGTTGTCTCATGATTTTGCTGCATTGAAGAGATTTTGACTTCTTGGGGTTATCTCGGGAGGCGGAATTGTCGTGATTTCTTGGCGTCGATCGAAGCTACCCCTCCAAGTGTTGAAGGTGAAGCAGAGAGAGACACTACCAAGGAGCTATGATCTCGTGACATGATCCGGGTCGAGGAAAAGAAGAGGCCAGTACAAACTTTTTAGTATATCCTCCACTAAAGCTAAGTAATAAAGTATCATGAGAATAGGAAAAGGGGATCTTAAGTATAGCCATAATTATGATATTCTTAACTACCTATTTTATATAAATTCAGTCATTATGCTTTGAGAGGAGTTAGGTAAACTCGTCGATGTTGCAGCATCTCATTTAGTTCTCGTCTGAGACAGCACGCTCAGTTGAGTGAGGTACTGTAAAGTTTCAAATAAAGCTCGACAACTTGAACCACGCCTGTTTTTCCACAGTTTTAGAATATCGAACATCTACTCTCAACTAACAAGACGACCAACTCCTTCGTTAGTCTAAAAACGGCAACTCTTCGCATGCTCCAACGTTGGCGATACAGCTTCCGCGGTTTACTAACAGCCCGAGGTACACCCGTCACACCGGACCCACATTTGCCGATATCTCAGCGTGCTCAACACCACGAAAAGAGGCCCCTCATGCCGACGATATCCCCAGGCCCATCGTTAAAGCAATGGACTCACCCATTGTGGCCCAGCTCTTCCGCCAGCTCTTCCGGCACCGTCCCCGGGGCTGCAAGGGAAACCTCCCCCGTCTGCCCAATGGCATCCGACCCGGCCCCGGCCGTGCTGCCGCGCACCAGACTCGGATGTACGTCGCCGGCCGTCCCTCGAGCGATCGCGGCATGAAGAAGAATGAGAGTCGATGGCAGCAGCGAACGCATATTCTTCCTCAGGATCGGTCTGCCGAGTTTGCAGAGTATCCGTATATATCGCTGGCAGAGCTCAAGCAGCGCAAGGAGAGGCCCCGCAAGGTCAAGATGCTGCTTCGGGACTTTATCGACGGCAAGGCTGGCCTCTGTTCCCTGCCTTGGATCAATGGCTGACTTTAAGGCTCCAGACAGTCTGTACAATCCCTCGTACGGATATTTTTCTAAACAGGCCGTCATCTTCAGCCCTGGTGAGCCTTTTGACTTTGGCTCCATGCGCGACGAGATCGAGTTCCAGTCGGAGCTTGGTCGGCGGTACACCGAGTTCGAAGACATTCTCGATGATCGTGAGGGTGATAATCCGACACGGCAGCTTTGGCATACACCTACCGAGCTCTTCCGCCCTTACTATGGCGAGGCCATTGCCCGATACCTCGTCTCCAACTACCGACTCACCACCTACCCCTACCACGATCTCCTCATCTACGAGATGGGTGCCGGCCGCGGCACCCTCATGCTCAACATCCTCGACTACATCCGCGAAGTCGACCCTCAGGTCTACGCCCGAACAAAGTTCAACATCATCGAGATCTCAAGCTCCCTGGCCGCCCTGCAGAACCGACACCTTCTCTCCACGGCGGCGTCCCGGGGCCATGCCGACAAGGTTGAGATCGTTAATCGCTCCATCTTTGATTGGGATCAGTACGTGCCCTCGCCGTGCTTCTTCCTCGCCATGGAGGTCTTTGATAACTTCTCCCATGACGGCATCCGCTACGACGTCGCCACCGAGGAGCCTCTCCAGGGTCACGTCCTCATTGATGGCGATGGCGACTTTTACGAGTTCTATGTTCATGAGCTCGACCCCGTCGCTGCCCGGTACTTTCGTGTTCGTCATGCTGCCACTGGCGGCGACTACCCCAAACCTTATCCGACCAACGCTGCTCTGCGATACCTTTCAACAAAGGTCCCCTTCGCGGCCAATCTCTCAGACCCCGAGTTCATCCCCACTCGCCTCATGCAGTTCTTTGATGTCCTGGAAAAGTACTTTCCCGCACATCGGCTCGTCACCTCTGACTTTGACTGGCTTCCCCAAGCTGTCAAGGGAATGAACGCCCCCGTTGTCCAGACTCGGTATAAGCGGCGTATGGTGCCCGTGACGACGCCTCTGGTAAGATTCCCTGATGCTATCTCCCTCTCATCCACGAAACTGACAATTCTCAGGTCCACCAAGGCTACTTTGATATCCTCTTCCCCACCGACTTCCGGATCACAGAGGCCATCTACCGAGCCATCACGGGAAAGCTCACGCGCGTCATGTCCCACGGCGACTTTATGCGCAAGTGGGCGTACGTCGAGGACACCGAGACTCGCAGCGGGGAGAACCCCTTATTGTCACATTACAGCAATGCCAGCGTTCTTGTGACTGTGTAAAAGTACAAACAAACCAAAAGCATGACTTGTAGATATACATCCCGGGTTGGATAAATATATATATACCCCTCTATGGAACCGAATCATCCATCGGCTATGCCCCCTTTCATTGTCCAGTTCTCTCATGGCTCATGCACAAGACGCGCTCTATATCATTCCATTTTGTCTGTCCGAATCCCTGAAATTGCTCCGATTTACAAGCATCCATGCCCTCAATGTCCCAAACAGTCATGCCATGTGTTTTACAACTTCAGCTTCTCGCTGAGCCACTTCGTCGCCGTCTCAACACCATCGTCGAGGTTCTCGGGCTTGGTACCCTGACCCTGTCGGGTTGGCTCCTTGCCGCCTGATCGACCACCGATGACCTCAGACACAGAAGCAGCCCACTGCTCGGCGGTGACGCCCTGAGAAGAGAGATGCTAAGCCCCAGTTAGTAATAGTTCTTATAGAGAATGCTGTACAACTTACAGTTCCGACATAGACACCGTGCACAACGGCACCCTCCTCCTTGCTGCCACCAAACAGGTACACAGACTTCTCCTTGTCCTTGCCCTGGAAGTGCTTGACGACCTCACCGACAGCCTTGGCGTTGGCACCGATAGGCAAGCGGCCAACGAACCACTTGGCATCCTCATTGGCCTTGAAGTGCTTGAGGACCGTGTCGAGCGCAGTCTTGGCCTCGGCCTTCTGGCGCTTCTTCTGCTCCGCGACAACGGCAGTCGAGATCTTCTGGAATCGCTTGTTGAGCTCGTCCTTAGTCAGGGTAGAGATGGTAAGCTGGCTGAGCTCCACAGACACAGCCTTGACCTGGGACTCCTTCTCGGCGAAATCCAGCTTCTCAAGGGCATCGAGCTTCTTGGCAAACTCGGCAGCCTCACGCTGGACCTGGTGCGCCGCCTCACCAGTGTAGGCGATGATACGACGAATACCCTTGGCGATACCGCTCTCCTCAATAAGGATGAGATCCTTGATCAGACCGGTCTGCTCAACGTGGGTGCCACCGCAGAACTCGACACTGTACTGGCGCCACTCCACGTTCTTGGGGTCGGCAAGCATCTCGTCAATGTCCTTGCCAATGGACACAACACGGACAGGGTTGGGGTAGGTCTCGCCAAAGACGGCACGGCAGCCCTCAATCTGGCGGGCAAGGTCCAGGTCAACATCCTTGGAGAAGATAGGGGAGCCACGACGGATATACTCGTTGGACCTATCCTCAATCTTCTTAAGCTCCTCAATCTTGACACCAGTCTTGTGGGAGAAATCGAAACGCAGCTTCTCATTGTCCACCAGCGAACCCTTCTGATGAATCTCATCACCAAGGACTTCCCGCAGCGAGTGGTTCAGGATGTGAGTACCAGTGTGGTTGTTTCGGATAGGTGATCGACGAAGCTCGTCGTACTCGCAGATGACCTCATCTCCAGAGTTCAGAGCACCGTACTCGATGTATCCGCTGTGAAGGATGTAACCACCAAAGTTCTGGACGTCCAGGACATTGAACTCGGCAACATCGTCAATGACAATCCGGCCGGTATCGGCGACCTGACCACCGGACTCGGCGTAGAAGTTGGTGTTGTCGAGCAGGAGACCGAGGGCGGTCTTCTCAGGGATATCCTTGGTCGACTTGAGGAATGTCTTTCCGTCGTAGATGAGCTGCACCTTGCCCTTGCTGTCACCCTGAAGGAACTTGGCGTCGTCGTTGGTTCGCTCAACCTTGAGCTGCTGCTCGAGCTCGGCAATCTGGTGGACGTTGAGCTTGGAGAAAGTCTGGACAGACTCCTTGACAGCCTTGCTGGCCTCTCGGGCCTTGATACGAGCAGCCTCGACCTCGGCGTCGTCGATCTCAAGGCTTCGCTCCTCCGCCATCAATCGGGTCAGATCAACAGGGAAGCCGAAAGTGTCGTACAGTCGCCAGACAACGTCGCCCTCAAGCTTCTTAGAGCCATCCTTGACAGCCTGAGCAGCGTACTTCTCGAACTGCGCCTCACCGCGATCCAGAGTTCGCGCAAAGGCGACCTCCTCCTCGTCAAGGATCTCCTTGATATCTTGCTGCTTCTTGACAAGCTCGGGGAACTGCTCGCCCATCTGGTCGACCAAGGCGGGCAGGATCTTGGAGAAGAAAGCGCCGATATCGGCGTTGAAGTACTTCCTGGCATATCGAACACCTCGTCGCAGGACACGTCGGACGACGTAACCTCGACCGTCATTGTTGGGGACGGCGCCGTCGGCAATAGAGAATGAGAGGGTTCGAATGTGGTCGGCAACAACACGGTAAGCGGTATCGATACCGTCGGCATCGTCCTTGCCGTACTTGTCGCTGTACGGTCGGGCGCCGGTCACCTCCTCGATCTTCTTGAAAAGGGGGGTGAAGCAGTCGGTGGCGTAGTTGGAGACGGTATTCTGGAGAGCAGAAACCAATCGCTCGTAGCCCATACCGGTATCAATGTGCTTGGCGGGCAGCGACTTAAGGCTACCATCCTTCTGTCGGTCGTACTGCATGAAAACGTTGTTCCAGATCTCGACAACCATGGGGTCGTCCATGTTGACGAGGTTGGCGGCATTGCGACCACCGATCTTGTCGTAGTGAATCTCACTGCAAGGACCGCAAGGACCTTGGTCGCCCATCTCCCAGAAGTTGTCCTTCATATTTCCAGGAAGAATATGATCCTCAGGCACACCAACAGACAGCCAGAGGTCCTTGGCCTCCAGATCAGGCTCCAGCTTCAACTTCTCGTCACCCTCGAAGTAAGTGACGTAGAGGCGGGCAGGGTCGAGACCGTAGACCTTGGTCAGAAGCTCCCAAGAGTACTGAACAGCTTCCTTCTTGAAGTAGTCGCCGAAAGACCAGTTACCCAGCATCTCGAAGAAGGTGTGGTGATAGCTATCCTTGCCGACATCGTCGAGATCATTGTGCTTGCCACCGGCGCGAATGCACTTTTGGCTGTCGACAGCGGCCTTGAGGCCGGCCATGGGATCCGTCTTGCCAATGGTACCGAGGAAGATGGGCTTGAACTGGTTCATGCCCGCATTGGTGAAGAGCAAGGTGGGGTCATTGTGAGGGACGACGGAGGAGGAGGGGACTGCATTGGAGAAGAGCCTTGTCAGCGCCTGTCGAGATAGAAAAGGGATGATGAAGATTGGACGACGGAATTGAGGAAATCTCGTGGAAGAAACTGGGTATAATTGCGAAGCCGTCCGGGGTGGCAAGACGTGTTGCCCGCACTATCGCGTACCTATCGTGTGGCCCCTCTGCTCAAAGTACTCGAGGAATGTCTGGCGGACGCGCGCAGCGGGCCACTTGAGCTCGGACTCGGCCATGGTCGAGCTGCTGGAGTAAGACCGGCGAAAGAGGAAAGAGGGAAATCTCCTTGTGGCCTTGGGGATCTGTCGCGCGAATATCGTGATTGTCGATTGTCGCAGAGTCGCAGCGACGTTTGTCTGGGGAAGGAGGTTGTGGTTGTGGAGGAGAAGAGGTTGTCGTTGTATTATTGGTGGCGCCGACGGAGGGGAGTGGAAAGTTCTACAAGAACCCGCCGAATGAGTCAAGAGGGATACATAAGGCCCGCGCCCACCCGTGCTCGTTTGCACCTGCCTCCAGCTCCAGCTCCGGGGCGGACAGCGCCGACTCCAACGCCCGCAACCGCTATCGCAACCGCTGAAGCCCGGTACCCGTGCCGCCGCTATCGCAATCCCGTTCCAGGCCGAAGAGGCGCTGCTTCTGCTTCTGCCGCCGACATTGCGATTGATGTTCACCCACATCAGGGGCGAACTCGTCTTGACAAACCAACAAAAAGACAAAAAAGTTTTTATACTCGCTCAGGCGAAAAACCAGTTCATCCTCGCCACGGGTGGTGGCAGCCGTGTCCTTCTCCCTCTCGTTGATTCGTCTCCGGATGTTGAAGGGTTCAAGGTTGTCCTTTTTTTTAGGCCTTCCAGCGGCGGGGGCCATTGACCACTGACACCTCCATCTCCTCTACTTTGACAATCAATCAATCATGTTGCACGGAGCGCAATCTCCCTCCACCTCGACCTCGGCAGCCCCGGTTGCTACCGACGGCATAGACAAGGCGAGGAGGTTGCGGCGCAAGAGAAAGGCAGAGACTCAGGACAATGAGCGTCTTTCTAAGCGCCTGAGTCTGCTTAACATTGGTACGTTCATCCCGTCTTGTCCCACTCTTCCAACGTCCCGGTAGATCCCTTGGAGCTAACGTCGCACGCGACTTACAGAGCAAAGCGGCTCTAAGCTGTATGTTCCTGTCGAGGAACCATCAATTCCAACGCCATCAATTCCCAATGCTACGCCCTCTTCTTCGTCCTCTGCTCCCGATCCTTTAGTTTCCAATGATTCGATGCAACTCGATGATTCTAAACACAAGGTTTACATCTACAACATCGACGATGAGCTCTCCTCCGACAGCGAATCCGACGATCCCGGCAAGCTCGTTTTTCTCTCCGACATTGAAAAGCACCTGCGCGTAAATCGAATACCTCCTGCCGTCCTTGCCAACAGCGATGGCGAGCTGGCGGGCATGCAGCTTGTACTCTACAGCGATCCCAAGTCGCTGACGGTGCCCGAGGACAAGGATAGCGTGCGCAAGGCTATCATAGAGTCGAGGCACCGCGCGAGGGAGCAGCAACGACTAGAAAGGGAGGGCAAGACGAACACACCGAGGGTAGACCGTGACTCGACGAACGATACGATTACACCTCAAACATATACAGATGACGATCCAGATGCCATGGACGTGGATTAGAATAAGGCCCCGGATCAGTTTACACGCACACACTACAGATACATATACCCAAGGCGACTGGAGTTCATGGTTATGGGTTTACTGCAGAGAACGATCTTAGTGTTGTTGTAATTCAGCACAAGGCCGTTAGTGCCTATCTATTTCTGGTATCATAAGGTAGCTCGTTTCCTTTCAATTTGATATGTTTCCAGCAATGCATTGATGGTCGTTATTTCCCGTGAAGCCTCCAAACCCAAACCCGTCTCAATCAAAACCCTGTTGTATCCGCCCTTACATCTAATCTTGTACATGTTTCCGCCGTCTATCTCGCAGGAGGTGGTCCCGGTGGTGCCTGGAAGTCTGCAGGCCCGTCGTCCCGTCTCTGTCCTTGCGTCGGGTCGATCTTAGAGCCACCTTCGGGAGGCTCTTCGTACATGGGAGGCCGTGACGGGTCGTATACTGGAGGAGGCATGTTGTACATGGGATATCCACCAGGCTGCACGTAGGTGTGTCCGTCTGGCCCCGGGTAGGTAGCATAATACGGTTGTGGGTGATATGCGTATCTTGGGTCGACCTGTGCCATCATGCGCCTGCTCACAAAGCACTAGAAGTCAATGTTAGCGCCCGTCAAGATTGATAGAGGGAATCTGGAGGTCAGCTCACCCGATGGTATGCCATAGGTCGTAGACCCTTTGCGATCCTCCTCTTCGCATGCCAGTATCCGCCCACGATCCAGAGGGTAAATAGAACGACGATGACAGCGAGAATTGACCATTTGACAATCACTCCCTCCTACTTCAATTAGCATGCGAAACGTTGGGTGCGGTGAAATCGGGCGTCGCCTACATCGCTATACCACCAATAACCTTCATCGTTATCATCGTCGTCAAGACCCCATGATTCCGTGCGATTATCATCATCGTCGTCGTCATCTCTGCGCATTAGAGCGCGCCGCACAAATCTTGTCGCCGACATGTTCAGTGCTGGCAATTCTGCTGTATGGTGTGTGTGTTGTGTTGTGTTCAAGTTGTCTCGTCCGAGGTGGGAGGTGCATGCACGGCGGCAAGGCCCCCGGGGCAACCAGGCAGGGTGACGGGAGTTTCAAGGGCGGCCCCGACGTCGCAGGGATGTGTGGAGGCTGTTTGGAGTAAGCAGCAAAACGGGCCGCTCGCTGACCAAAAGATGAGATAGATGCAAGAGAAGAGAGACAGACCAAGCGGAGAAGGGGGAAAAGAGTAAAAAAAGGGAAACAGAGTTATTTAAAGGATCCTTGGCAGCTCCCAATGCAAAGCAGAAAATCATAAATAGACTTGCGGTGCGTGAGGTGCTTTGGCGCACAAAGAGAGGAGAAGGGGAAGGGGGAGGGATCTCCGTGCAGTATCTCTCTCTCTGGGCGACGATCCGTGGCAGGAGGCGTTGCGCATTCAAGTTTCACAGGCCCAAAAGGGGGCCAGGCTGCTTGGCTCACGGGCGCCTATGGACAAGCGGCAAGCCTCCTTATCCTGCGGAGCAGAGACTCCATGTTTATCACTGCTGAGTCTGGGATCGCGGGGGTTCAATAGTAAGAAGAGTCATGCTTATTCCATTCAGAGTGATATTTTAGCACTGGCACCTACTACGAAGTAAGATAATTCCATCCAAAGATCCATCGCTTAGAGAAAAGTCCAAGCCCGTGGCTGGCTGCTTTGTCAAGGGTTGTACAACCGTGAAAGGATTCACGGGCGCTGTCCATTCCGAGCTCAGCCTCTTGCCTTGAAACGTCTCATCCTGGACCGTCTCAGAGCCATTCATCGTGTTACACAAGAGGCTTGACAGCCAGTCCCGCTCTTTGTTAGCGCCAGCCTTCACAGGGGGTCTAATGGTCCAAGAAAAGGCATACAAAACCGGGCACAGCATACAAGGCTTCCATATGATGATAATGCTAAGATCATATATAGACTTGAGAGTGTCATTTATATATTTTACTCTAAATTTCGTCTCTATAGTCCGGCAAATCTCGTTGTCTCCCTTCAGTACAAGACGCCTTTCTTTTTCTTGGTCCAGGCGTCTGGTGGCTCAATGCAAACAGACGAAAAGAAGGGATGAAACAACACAGACTCTACCTTGACTGTTATTACCGCATTCCCTGAATCAATGTTGTTACAAAATACGTGATTGTTCCGTTGTTCAAGTTCTCTCGGGCTGACCGCCAAAATATCACGTATCAGCAAGTGGCGTGCAACGTGCCTTTTCCCACGCCAGCCATGGCGGACAAAGCCGTCCACTGACTCTACTCAAAGCCGACATACCAGCTTAAGGTCGAGAATACTGTTTGATGAAAATCGCTGTTGAGAATCTCTTACACAATTCCATCTAGCTTAGCAAATGAACCCAGAAACGCCATCGCTCCAATGCTACCATCAAGAAAGGGACATGCCCGCCACTCTTCACACATCCAATAGGTACTTTACAGGCCGACACCTCCCGCAGCCCATCCAGCAAAATCAGGACCATCACGGCCGTTATCTGGCCGCGGGTTCGGAGGCAATCCTTCCAGGTTTCTTCGTCGAGCGTCCTCGCCCTCCTGATGTGCCTGCTGCAGTCGTTGCCGCCACCAGAGGAGGAATACAAGCGAAAAGGTGATGCCAACAATAAGAAGGCTCTCCATTATCCCGTCATCATCGCCCGCGCCTTCTCCGCTGCCCAGCGCGCCATCGTAGAGATCCTCGCCGGCATAGTATTCCTCGTCATACTGCCCATCATCTTGCAAAAAGTGGTTAATCCATTCGGACAGCGATCTGACCTTTTTCGGTTCTAAAGGCATTGTAAGGATATGAACAGCGACATGATTCAATGGAAGACTTACTGGGCTCATCCTGGATCGAATGAATCGGTCCATGTGTCAAGGTGTTCCAAGCGCTCCGAAGCCGGAGCTTGAACAGACTCAAAGTGACAGGCAAATATGCCTCCTCATTGACTTCCAGCGCATGGTCATAATACCTCTTGGCCAGGTGGAAATCCTGCACCAGTCCAATGCCGTTCTCATGCATCCACCCCAGGTTGTAGAGAGCCTGAGCGCTTTGCGAATAATCCGAGGCTCCAGTGTAGCACTGGACAGCCTTGGCAACATCAACCTCGGTGCCAATGCCATCAAAGTAATAGTCGCCCATTTTGACAAGCGAGTCGACATTGGACTGCCTCGATGATCGAGTCCAGTAGACGAGTGCGAGTGCTGGGTTCTTGAGAAGGCCGCTCTTGTCTCGAGCCACTTGGAGAAACGATGACAGAGCGAAGCGCCCCTGTGTAGAGTCCAGCATGTATGCCACGTTAGTCTGCGCCTTCTCATAACCCTGCTCAGCAGCCAGAAGGTATTCCAAGAACGCAAGATCATGGTCACCGGCTTCGTACGCGTCGTTGGCATCGCCCCAAGCCGAGACCAACGGTTCGGCCTTCTCGGCAACACTCTTGTAATATGTGAGAGAAGCACCACAGAGCTTCTCCCGTCCAACACCATGGTGGATCATCTCCGCAATGTAGTAATGCGCCTCGATGTTGCCGTGTCGTCCCGCAAGTTCAAAGTAGTTGTTGGCGATCCTAACGTCCTCCTGACCACCCTGATCCAAATAAAGATGTCCCATCTGGACCATGGCAGCAGGGAAATCCTGATCGGCGGATGCTCTGAAGAGTTCCATAGCCAACTTCACATTTTGTTTCCCCCCGTATCCATGAAGCAGCATCAGAGCGAGACCATGCTGCGACTGGGCATCTCCTTGCGTGATGCCACGTTCAAACCAGAGTTTTGCCCTTGCAAAGTTCTGAGCAACACCATCGCCCCTCAGGTACATCCGGCCAATGTAGCCAGCGGCCTTGGTAGCAATCTTCTCCAGACCCGACTTGGGGCTTTCGTGGAGTTGTCCATTTTGCTTCCAGTAGCGGGACACAACCTTGCTGAAGTACCTGAGAGCAATATCGATGTCGGGTTCAAGGCCCCGCTGGCCCTCGTAGTATATCCTTCCCAAGTTGAACGATGCCTTAAAGTCGCCCTTTTGAGACATCAAATCGAGATACTCAATCACATCGTCGATGGCAGCATTCGCGTCGGATCCGTAACTCGGCTTGAAAGCGTTCATACCTGCACTTGAAGCACTTGCCCCTTCTCCGTAGATACCTCCATGGTCATCCGAGATTCGCCATTGTTGTTGGACCCAAGCTCTGCCACCAGGAGGACCAGATCTGTGCCAGGCAATCGCCTTGTCTGCCACACTCTTGTAAAATTTCACCGCCGTCTCGCAGTTCTTAGTTGTTCCAATGCCAGCGTGGTGCCTGAATCCCGCAGCCATTTCCGCACGAGCGTTTCCGCGAAGAGCAGCAAAGGTGTAGTAGAGGAGCGCCTTTGCTTGATCGCGCTCAACGACATTGCCGATCCCCGTGGAATAGTAGAGTCCGACCATAAACTGGGCCGTCGTATTTCCGTAAACATTGGCGAGCTGGTTATAGTGGTTGAAGGCCACGTCCAAGTTTCTTGGGTGGCTGTAGTTACCAAAGAAGTTTATCTCGGCGAGCAAGTAGAGAGCGTCGGAATTGTTTTGCCGCGCGGCTTGCTCGAGAAGATCGACCGCATTGGAGATGGAGCCGGTGGCGGAAGAATCGTGGGATTGCGATGGCGAGGTTACCGGGCTGGTGGGGATAGCTTTAAGGATATACCGCAGGGCGGTTCCGACGAGACCTGCCGCCTTTCGCTTTCGACGATGTAAAGGCTGCGGTGCTTTGTTCAGCTCAGCCATCGCTGCATCGACCAGTTCCGCGCCTAGAAGCTGTCAGCGTCTTTGCGCTCCCATTCCTCCGTGGAGGCCGACTGTACCAGGTTGGGGAGTATGAAGGTGGTTGTGGTCAACAACCACATCGGTTCTTGGAGCGGCGACATGTTTATTCTGACCGCCTCGTTGAACGGGTTGTTCTTTGATCTCTTGCTGGTAATATTTGGCATTCGTGCCAACTCCCAAGGTGGCCTGCCAGAGCACTAACAAAAGGTCAGCAAGCTTGCCAGGTGTCGCGTGTGCCGGGTGGAAGCGATTGACTAACGGAGAACCCAGACGATTGATTGCCTCATCTTGGGCAACTTCTATGTGCCAAAGTTTCGAGCTATGCCGCAGAGCATGGCTATTCTGCAGAGTGTAGATGCGGCCTGCGGTGTTGTTGTCGCGGGGTGTTCGAAGCGGCCGGGAGTTACAAGCTGTCCAGTTGAGGTCGGACCTTACATGAGGTAATGCCTGTCGGGTGTGTGCCCAGATTGGAAAAGCGTGGTGACGACGGCTGACTAATGCGCCACCCAGGAACAAGTTCATCGGGGAGAAGCCATTGGAGGCTCTCGACTACGAAGAGTATAAGTTGTTAGATAGCTGCAGTTGAGAGAAACGAACAAAAGAGAGGAATTATGGACGATATTCAAGATAGAATATGAATTGAGTTGTCAGCGCCTGCACACTCCGGCCTCGATGTGAATGCAAATGCATCAGTCCAGAAAAGGAGGCTGCAAACGCCAGTGATGCAGGGAGATGCACCTATGATATTAGCTAGGACCTGACAAAGGAAACTCTCTTTTAACCACTCGAGATATTCAATGCTGAAGTTGTCCAGTTGTATGATTTAAACAACGCTGTTGTGCAACTCCAAGGAACCCAATTGATACGCCTGAATAGCACAAGTTGCATAGTTCCACAACTCACAACAAGACCAATCTTCAACTCCACAGTTTCTGCCTAGTTCTGCCTAGCTAGCGGTTACGCCAGGCTTGCTAGTGTAGAAACTACTTCAGCTCCCAGCCACTCACGAAAAGCCCCCAGGTTTCAGTGCCCTGCAGCCTGGACTAAAGTCCCAAGTCCCCCAAGCCTCCCTTGACGCGAAAGTCACGGGAAGCGCGTCAATGGCTGGGGTCCGACCGCGTCTCCCGCAACGCGCCCCGTTGCCATCGACTCCTGAGAGCTTGCATCACCACTTTAGCTCGGAAAATCCATCACATCTCGTCACATCTCATCACACTTCCTATATCACGACTCGGCCCTGCACTTTCTCGTCCGTATCCATTGTTTCTTCTCCAAAGTTTTGGTGCCAATCAATTTTTACTGTACTGTTTGGCGAGCCCAATTGCCCAGGATTCTTCCCACGCGAGCTCTCCCCAGACTCCTTCTCCTACGAGGACTCACCGTGCATCGACCCCTTCCCCATCTCCGACTCCGTCTCCACATACAGTATCTCGTTATGTCGACACTCAAGCGCAAGGCCGCAGCGGCTGCTGGTCGAGGCGACACGAAGAAGGCCAAGGCCGATGGTAACATTGCTTCATTCTTTGGAGCTGCCCCTAAGCCCGCCGGTAGTGTTGCGGCAGCGCCGGCCGTCAAGTTCGACAAGGCCAAGTGGCTGGGAACACTTACTGCAGAGCAAAAGGAGCTTCTCCAGCTCGAGATTGATACCCTCGATGACAGCTGGCTGGCCCACCTCAAGGATGACATCACCACCAAGGAGTTCCTGGAGCTGAAGCGCTTCTTGAACCGCGAGACCGGTGCTGGCCGGAAATGGTTCCCGCCCAAGGAGGACGTCTACTCATGGTATGGACCTACGATGCTTGCCTTTAATGCCCCCTTCTGATCTTGGATAACCAGGTCCCGCCACACCAAGTTCAACAACGTCAAGGTTGTCATCGTCGGCCAAGACCCCTATCACAACAACAACCAGGCCCATGGACTGGCCTTCTCCGTGCGACCTCCCACTCCCGCACCCCCCTCTCTCAAGAACATGTACATTGCTCTCAAGAAGGACTATCCGTCTTTCGAGCCACCACCCAACAAGGGAGGACTCCTCACACCCTGGGCGGACCGTGGTGTGCTCATGCTGAATACCTGCCTCACTGTCCGGGCTCATGAGGCCAATTCGCATGCCAACCGAGGCTGGGAACGCTTTACCCAAAAGGTCATTGATCTAGTTGTGCAGAAGAGAACGAGGGGTGTGGTGTTCATGGCCTGGGGAACCCCGGCCGGCAAGCGAGTGCAGAAGGTCGACCGAGTGAAGCATCTCGTGCTGCAGAGCGTGCATCCTAGCCCTCTCAGCGCTTCTCGAGGATTCTTCGACTGTGGGCACTTCAAGAAGGCCAACGAGTGGCTCGTATCGCGATACGGACCTGATGGCGAGATCGATTGGGCATTGGCACCAGGTGCCACGACCAAGGCCAAGGTCGAGGAGCCCGAAGCTGCCGAAGAGGAAGAAGATGTGAAGGAGACCAAGAAGACAGAGGCCAAGAAGTCGGAGACCATGTCAGCAGAGAAGAAGGATGAAGATGATAAGGAGAACGACGCCGAATTTGCTGCAGATGAGGAGGCTCTGGAGGAAGCCCTCGCGCTCGCCGAGGAGGAGGAAAAGCGCAAGAAGGAAGAGTAGAGTATGGGTTTGGGGTTTATCAGAGCCAGCGTATTTGTTTTCTTACGACGGCGTTGTATTAGCACTTTGGATCAGGGTAAGGGTATCTTAGTATCTAGGGATGTAGGATTTGGCATGTAGGAATATCGGTCCCCAGATGATCGGGTCGCTGGGCCAGGGATCATGGAAGGATCACTTTCGGGAATCTATGTGCATGGATATATGTAGTTGTAGTATTCGTTTTTTGGATGAACGATTCCCAAGCGTATCGTATCGAGCTATGAAAGACGTCATCCTCTGGCCATTCGAAACCTCCGAACCAAGCATTGTGCTGTAAACAACATTCGGAGATCAGCGGACGGTGAGAACGGATGGAGGGAAGAAGAGGACGGGCCGGCCAGACCCAGCAGCCGTCATGCCCGAGGTCAGGGACTTGATCAGTTCAGGGTCACGGTTGAGAGAAGGGTCCGTGTTGAAGCAATTCAAACCGGCTCAACTCCACTCTTCAGCGCGCGATGCTAGTCTCTCGCCTAAACCTCTTCTCGAAGGAGAAGCCGAAAGATCCAGTTTGAGCAAAATTGAAATGGCATGATCCCTTCAGCTTCACCGGGGGCTGGACGACCGAGCGCACGAATGGAGATTTCAAGATGAGTCGAGGTAGAAAAGGTCTGAGATTGAAGCACCCTCCCTCATCCCTCGAGCGCCTCCCTTAGGGGTTTTCCCCATATAGCATTACAAAAAAAAAGGTAGCATCAGATCTCCCATGTCAAAAAAAGATTCCATGAGAATGCGGGGCATGGAGGGACGCGCCAGTCATGATCAAGGTTGAGCGTCAACAACGTGGACGAACGGGAACCAACGCCTGAACCATGAGCATCTTGTTTCAGCCCTGGCATACCAACCCAGGCGCGGAATACGGATGAGCAGAAGAGGGATGCACGTAGGTACAGTAAGTGCCCGTCTCCGCTTGCATGAAGCATAACGACTGTGGAGTTTGGTTTGCGGTTCAACTCTCGACTAGACCGGGGTCATGGATCGAGGTCTGGGCGTCGAGAAGCGGCCGAGTTGGGATGAAGGCTGATGGCGACAACGGCACAGACTCATGCCTTGGATGGGGTTGTCAAGGATGTTTCGTCTTCATCAGCAAGATCGAGGCTTGCTTGCTTGCTTGCTGCCAGGTTTCTGGGCTCTGTATGACCTGCATCTCTGGTTGCCGACGGTGTGAGATGGGACACTACGTGTTAGTGGCCACGTCCTGATCTCACTCACGTACATTTGGGATAACCAGTCGTCTTCTAGCACAGCCCGTCTGCCAACTCAGCAGCGTCGATCCAAGAGGAAATCCTGGGCGAACAGGCGGCCACCCAAGACGCCCACGAATGCCGGCTTGGGTGGGATGAGGATGCGCTGGCCATGCCAACTCACAACTCGGGGCGCCCCACGGATGACTGAGCCACCGGTACGGCCATTGGACAAAGACATCCCGAAAGAAGCCTGGGAGAAGGAATAGATGGGCTATATTTGGGCTTTTTGTGTGGGCAGAAACTGGATGTCCCGCCGTTGAGAGGTTCCTGGCATGAGATGGGGTATCCCAGGTAAAAGAGGCTAATGTTGAAGATGCTCGCGAACCGGAACGATTTGAATCGGCCGAGTCGAGAGTGGATTACCATCAAGGATTCCTTGAATTAGTAGACATCTTTTTTTTTTTTTTCGTCTCCTCTAGAGGCGCTACTCATGACGTGGAGAAGAACGAGCGAGGCTTGGGTTCATCGACAGGCTGAAAAGCCCTATCTTAACAGAGGCGCTGATATTGACAAGGGACAAGTCCGCCGCCAATTAGGCCACCAGAGGGCGCCAGACGGGACGCAACGGCGTCGTTTCTCCCGCCCCGTGTGTGTGTGTGTGAGCGGCTCGGGAAGTTTGAGAGGGCGAGGAGGGGCGCCTCATCGGGTGACTGATGAACTCTTTGGGAGAGGGCAATTGCGAAACGATGGCGTCGAGCCACCCGAAATGATCGCATCTAGAGATTGGATCAGTCGCGAAAAGAAAAGACGTGAGAGGCTCAGCGCGTCGTCTCGCTTGTCGCTCAGCTCGCGCAAGCTAAGAGTAGAGCTACAGCACCAATTTGGCTACGGCGACGGCGTCCAACCAAGGCGCCAAGGTGACAGGCTTGTCAAGACCGATGCCGGGCCATGGATGAGATGGAGGAGCGAGACCCCTGGTCCATCATCCCAAGTTTCTGATCATGGTGGTGAAGCCTATTGACGTCGTTCTCTGCCCGCTCTCCTCCTATTTTCTTTCGGCTTCAGCCATCGCCGTCATTGTCTGATAGAGCCAGGGCATGACGACCGGCATGATCAAAGACATGAAGCCCCTCGCTCTCTCTCTCCCCCATGGACGTCCAATTAATTAATTACCTGGCCACCCGCCCGCCCAACGTAATTAAAATTTCAGGGCATCCAGGAACGTGGCGGTCCACTCCTCTGATGAAAAAGCCTTGACCTCTGGCAGCGGCCCAACCTATCCAATCGCGTTGGTCAACTCTGGTCCAACGGTTACGGTTACCTCTTGTCTTGGCCTCTCACATCGCGAGTAGCACACTGCCCAACTCTTTTTTGCTGCCGCCCATCGCTGGACTTCCTTCTTTCACCTTGTCCCCTGGAATGGAATGCCCCGAATCTGCTTCCCGAGCCCCTCACACCCTGTCCTGCTAGTCTGTTCCTTGGAGTCCCTTGGCTTGCGGGCTCGTGGGGTGAGCTGTACTCGGGCGCGGCTTGTCAACCATCCGGAAGGCGTTGTGTTGTGTTGGTTGACGAAACCTGTACCTGTGCCTGTACCTGTGTACGTTGGTAATTCTCAGCCTCACGGTTACAGTGGCCCAGCGCCAATATCCGATCAGACGCGAGTATAGATTTGTGATATCATACAGGGCATGATGCCAGCTGCGCTCTAATATCATGCTGCAGCTCAATCATGAATAGCAGAGCAGAATTGAATCTATACAATACACCACAATCACCTCTAGGTTATTCAATCACAAACACAACGCAACACAACACACTCATCACTCGCAAGCACACACCCCTCCCTCCATCCCAAAGGGCCCCTACCCACCCTTGTCGACTTCTTCATGCTCTACGTCCTGTCATCCCAGCTCAAGAGCCCAAATCCCAATCTTAGTGCTGTTCTCTTCTGTACGTACCGTACTCATCCATCCATGATAAACCTGGTCGCGCATCCCCGTCGTCGCCCCTGAAGCGCGCTCCAGCCCAGCCCAGCACAAGGTGCGCTGCACCTACCTCACCCCGTTGTCCACAATCCCGTCCCGTCCCCAATCCCATTGTCACCCTCTCTCTCTCTCTCTCTTCTCGTCTCATCTTGCTTCTGGTTGGACTCAGAATTTTCTTCTCTTCCTCTCTTTCGATTCACTTTCCATTCTTCCCATAATCCTTCTCTATCCCCGGCCTCGTGCCCCTCCTTTTTTTTCTTCTTCTCCTTCACCCCCGTTGAGCACGTCGTTTCGTTTCGATACCCAGCAGCAGCCAATCTAACTGGCCTTGTATCAACCTCCAACATCCGCCAGAGGGGAAAAGGGTCCCCTAATTTTATTTGTACGCCCATCATATGCCGCTCACGCCCGCGTAGAAACCGTCCCTGAGCCCACCTTCCCTGACTTACACGTCTCTCTTGCGCGCAGGCTTCTCCCACCTTCTCGTTCAGCTTCACCATTTCATATCACGATCATCGCCAGTGCAGCAGAAGCTACTGTTAAATCGACCCAACTGCCGACATACCCTGGCCATATTTCGCAACCGGGGCCTTGCTTTTCCCGTCCTCAACCGGGAAATTATCACCGAATAGCTCCTACCTACAGTACCTGGCATCGGTACACCCCAGCAGAGCATCACCGCCCCTTTATTCACGTCCCGGCTTGACGTCGCTTTTGCATCCATTCCTATTCTCTTGTCGCATGGAATCTCCTCGCCACCGCGCCTGACTATCTTCTCTCGCAACTGCTGTTAAGCCGTTGCCCGTCATGGCTGGCCTCTTCGCTCGCCTCAAGGGAAAGGACTCCAAGTCCAAGAAGAAAGCCGCCAACGATCTTGCCTCGTCGCTGCCGGCCAAACCACAATGGACCGATGCCTACGCGCGCACCTCTGTCGAGCCCGAGGAGGTTCACGAGCTGATTCGATGTTGTACTCAAGAGCTCAAGGCGCGAGGTATGTTACTTTTGTCACATGGGATACGCATACTGCGACTCTCGTCCCCATCATGCCCCTCCATGTACACGACATGCTAATCGTTATGCTGTGCTCCAGCTCTCGACCACCCCTTTCTCCTTCTTCCATTCCGACCGACCTCCGATCCTAGCGCCGTGCGCTCCTTTGTCCGTCACTTTTTCGAGTCTCATGCGAATCTACGCGGTGAACAATTGCTCCAGGAGTTGCGCATGACGGAACCAATGGTACGTGGGTTACGGCATCAAGAAGCGCGCCAACTAACATTCCCAGGTGGTTTCTGGTGTCGCAAAGTGGTGCTGGAGTCGAATTCAGGGGGGCATTGTTGGCTGGGATGCGTATGAGCTGTTCAAGGTGGGAGAAATTGGTATGTGCTTTCGCATGGCATGACGTTAACGACCTCTTCAAACGGCAAACCTGACCCTTATCTAGACTCAAACCTGGCCCGAGACTCTTTCAAGACATTCATCCCGATTAGCGTTGAGAATGGCGCCCGTCAGCGCATCATCTTTGACTTCTTCGACCTCATGGCAGCAATTGCTGCCCACGGAAAGTCCAATGGTCTTGGTGGTCGAAAGCTGTCGCGGATGGCTGCATGGTGGGCCTTTGAGCACAAGGATACAACCAAGGGCTTCGAGGGAGGATATGAGGCGTGGCTTCGGTAAGTTGCCTTGAACGACCGCTGTTTATCGTGATTGCTTACTTGAAACCAGTGCTGCCGATGCGACGAGCCACATGTTCTTCGCTTTCCTCCGATCTCTCTCGCCTGAACAGAACGTCACTGGTATCACCATGCTCCCCATGTCTCTCCAGAAACTGCTCCAGGAAACCGAATATCCTCCCCAGCGACCAGCCCTTATGAGCTCCACCACCAACAAGGTTGTCATGATCGTCGATACTGTGTCTCCGACTCCCTTTGCCCTTTTGCGAAGGGCCAACCACTTCCAGTACCGCGACGAGGACCGCGCATTGCAGGAATTTTCCGAGTACGAGGACCCCGTTAAAGCCTTGACAGATGAGTGCCGTCGAGTCCTGAAGGCCGTTGCTGGCGCCAACCAGTCGCAAGTCTCGAGCTCAAAGCACTCGACCAGTCTGCGCGATGCATCTTGGTCGCGATTCGAAGATATCGGTTTCTCTAGTACCCTCGAGGAGGAAGACGATGACGACGAAAGCGCCTTGGCCCAGAAACAACCACCGCCTGGCCTTCGCAGGACACCTGCATCTGGTAATAACCTCGGAAGACCAACAACTCCCTCATGGGCCGACTTCTTGTCCTCCGGATTTGTCGACGAAAACCAGGCCGCTCGATCAAACCTTCTTCTCCCTCCTGACAAGGTCCTGCCACCTCTTGAAACGGTGAGACAACGAAGCTCGCAGTCACATCGACCAAGACTTGAGCACGACCGCTCCCTTGAACCTGGTGAACTTGCTAGCATCACCACCTTTTCCTTGGACGATGCATTCTGGTGGGTTTGGATGACTAGTCTTGCCCCTGAGGAGACTGCCGAGCGAAAGTCTGCATTCGGACGATGCGCAATTGTCGAGACTAAGATCACCGGTGGCCGCTGGCTGGTGATGGAGGAGATGGTGGCTGGCGCGGCGCCAGAGCCGCAGGAGGGTGCCTATATCGCAGAAAAGAAGGGATTCTTCAGCTGGACTCGACGTGGAAAGGGACTTAGTCGACGGAAGTCTACTAGCAAACAAGCCCTCGAAAACAATGTTGGCCAAAACAGCGCCAGCAAGGCCAGCATTGGCCCCGACACTCATGCTAGGATCCAGGCCAAGGCTGCACAGCTTCGAGCAGCCGAACTTCAGGAGAAGAAGCTGGCTGCCCAGCAGCAGTACCAGCGCCGTGGCCGAACTGATGCAGAGCTCATGGCGGAGAAGACTAACAGTGTTCTCACCTTGCAGCCCACCATCATCGGCGAGGCTTCGTCAGCACTGAAGTGGGTTTCCAAGTACGACAAGGGAACGATCAAGGACGTGTATATGGCCAACAGCAACGCGGGTCGCGGCTTGGCCGTATCACCTATTCCCTCCGAGGGAGTTAACGGGGACGCCGAGACTAACGGTGGCTCGCATGCTCAAGAGCAGCCTCCTCAGGTGCCCGTTAAGGACGTGCCAACGCCTGTTGCCTCTCCGACATTCGCGCCAGCCCCCAGGGAAACCGTAAGGAAGCCTCTTCCCGTCCCCGATAAGCCCGCCGAAGTTGGGCCTGCGCCTGTACCAGCTCCGGAGCCAGTTCAGGAGCAGGTCCAGGAGCCTATCACACAACTCCCGGATCCAGAGCCAGCGGTTGTCCCCGCCCCTCCCCCCAAGAACGAGCTGCCTCAAGACTTCTCTCGTGAGAATATGGTGTCCCCTACGCCATCAAGCCCCGAGAGCAAGAAGAAGAAGCTGCAAAAGGAGAACAAGGAGAACCGCGGTTTCCGTAAGCTGTTCCGCAAGAACCGAAGCTCCAAGCTTCCAGAGAATGCCGGCGCCAACGTGAATGCGCTCCTTCAACGGGATCAGCCCACTCCTGAGCCTCACGCTCAACCAACTCCGGCTCGTGTTGAGACTCCAGAGCCCGCGGCTGTCCAAGCCCCCGTTCCCCAACCCGCCCCTGTACATGGCGATGACTCTGAGCTGCCAACTCCCACACCCGCCGACTTTGTTACGCCCATGGAAGAGCCTGTGAAGCGTGTTGATACCCCCCAGAAGAACCACGAGGTCGTTGAGCCAACAGTGGAGGAGGCTCAGCTCCCTGCCAGCACCAACAACTCGACCCCTGTGGAGGTGCAGAATGCTCGGTTCAACCAGGGCCCCCTCGCAGACCAGCCTGCCTTTGCCCCTGACAGTGACGACGAGGACGACGCTACGCCTCCACCTATCGCTCGGGACTCCCGTCACTCTCCCCAGCTCGGTTCAGCGGCGCAGCCTGAGGAGAAGCTGAGCAACACCGCCGGCCCTGGAGTCCAAGATCGATGGGCTCAGATCCGCAAGAACGCTGCTGATAGAGCCGCTCGTCAACCCGACGAGGCGCCCCGTCCTGCTCACAGGACAACTGATGGCGATGATGATACAAGTGGAGAAGAGAGTAAGTTGAGACAAGTTGGTGTGCCTGAAGTTGACAAAACTAACGAGACCTTAGCTATTGAATCACGCGTTGCCCGAATCAAGGCTCGCGTCGCCGAACTGACCGGCAACATGGAGGGCACCGCCGGCCCTCAGGCGACTCCGGTCCGCCGCTGAACAACACCATGTCGCAACGATACACCAACTACTTGACCCTTTGTGCTAGGACTTGGTAAAGCACAATTTCCTATCATGGACCTTCTGAAACCGTCCGCCACCATCTGAACTGAGCTTTCATTGCTACGTGGCACATCTACGAGACACATTTCGCACGCCCTGCACACGCCTAATACCAGCCGTCGCTAATCTGTTTTTATGTTTCTTGGGTCTCCCTTGTTTCCTTGTTCTCCTTTGACACATGATACCACTAGAAGATGGAAGAAGAAAAAAAGCCATGCGAATCTTGACAGCTACAGGAGAGGGGAGAGGAAGAAGACTAGGAAACGGACCAGGCTCTGTTAAGTTGCCTGGGGTCCTGTATTTATTCATATATCTATTCATCCTGAGCAATCTCTAAGAAACTCTACTTCTTTGTGTTCATTTGTCTATTCCTTGAGCGTTGTAATGTGTCGTGAACAGAGTGGTAAGATCGTTGTCGTTTAATTCGCAACACAGGTTCTTACGTCGATTTGGCCACGAACAGCACTCGAAGTCTTGCGACTACACGCCGGGCACTACGATATGATAAGATAGGAATAATAAATTTGAATAATAGTTGTCCCAAGATAAAGCAAGTATACATTTCAATCTAAAGCAAATATTCGTGTCCGTGACCCTTAATCCTCCCTCATTTCATTGTCCTTAGCCATCATGATGCCCAGCTTCCCGTCAACCCAAGCTTTTATTATTCCTCCTGTTAGGAGTATCCCGCCACGGCGTCCACCCTCCATTTTCTTTCTCCCCGACCACTCACCAAAGCCTCAGCTTACTTGAGCACCTTGCTTGCAGCCGTCTAGGTCGCCTTGGTCGCCTCGGAGGCTACCTTTCTTTGAGCCACATCAAGCAGGACCAACAACGTATCCATGGTCTCCTTTTCGTGAGCGGCCTCGGCCTTGTCTATCCTCTCTTTGAGTTGCCGGTTCTCCTCTCTGAGTTGGTCGTTCTCCTCTTCAAGCTTCTGAAGCCTCTCACTGTTGGATGGGAGGTCGCGCAGGAGGTCGGCCAGAGCTATAGCCTGACGGTCCAATGCACTATGTGTGCTAGCACGCTTCGCTGGAGGAGAATCCGTGGCTGGGGTCGGGTCAGCAGGTCGCTTCGCTCCTCGGTTCGCGTAGGCCTTTGATACGTTGGCCCTTGCCTTCTCTATCTTCTCCATGGTCGCTAGACCACTCGAACCACTTGCTTTTTCGACCTGGTCGGGGTTGCTGTTCCTTTCTTTTTGTGCCTCTTCCTTCAAGCTCTTGTCGCGCGCCTTCTGGGCCGCCGTCGTTGACTCTTCATCAATGATGGCCTCGTCCTCGGATTCGCCGCCGCTGGAGTCGCCATCAATAGATCCGTGGTCACCTCCCTGGTTGGGTGTCTGAGGTCCTTTGCCCTTTGGATCAGTGGCCGACCCGATCGTTCGTGACTTGGACTTTGATGGGTGCTTCTTCTCAAGCTTTCCCAGATACAACGTCAATTGTTTGTCGACTGCGACCTTGGGGAATTCGCCGTCTGGAAAGATCTTGAGACCCCAGTACTTGGCCATGTTTGCTCTGATGTCGGGGAGTTTGTCGGCATCGGGCCAGCAGGCGCTCACAATCACCCAGTTGCTGAAGCGTCTGTTCTCATGGCGACCACCATTCCCCTTCAGCGCCTTATAGCTGCCATGAGTGCTGACCGCGGTCTTCAGACTGGTCGCCCACTTGATATCGGAAATGTCGTTGAAGAACTTTTCCTGGACCTCTTGGTTCATGTTGCCTCCTCTGCGGATCTTGTCATAAAGGTCGAGAACGCGCTGGACGGGCTTTCGGCGGCTCGGGCTGTTCTTCATGGCATCGCCGAAGTGGGAGAGTGTGATCTTGTATGGATCTGTCGACCCCTCTTCCTTAGGATTGGCCATGGTGAGAGAGGTGTCAAGGTAAAGGAGGTCGATATCGCCGGGCGATGGAGCAGCCGGAATAGCTTCAAGGTGCAGTCTAGAACGAGTTAGAATTGCGAGTTGAGGCGCAAAAATAATGATACTTGAGAGATATGGGATGGGATGAAATGGTTGGAATACCATACCTGATGGAGCTCTCGAGGGTTTGAAGGGGGAAGAAGTTGTCGAGATGAAGAGGTTGAAGAACGAATTTTTATATTGGTGGTCTTTGTGTGTCTGTGATTCATCGTCTGTTCTTCCTGTTCTTCCTCTTTTTGGAGGAGGTTGAAGATGAAAGAGGAAGAAGAAAAGAAGTTGCAAAGACGGGATTTTATAATGATAGCGTTGGTGCGTGAGTGATTCAGAGCCTCACGGTTTGGAGTGGAATGGGATAGATATTGAAGATGACGGAAAGGGGAGGTTGGTGCTTTTTGAAACCAAGAAGTTATCAGGAAGAAGTTGTTAAAATGAAAGGCTTACTTAGGTTCAAGATGAATAGGTAGGTTACTGGGATAGAGAAGTTGTAGGCTTCTTATTGTGCAGACTAGAGTTTAGTATTTTAGTAATTCAAGGGGGGCTCATATGGCTTTATTACTCGCGTACATGTGTGAGCAATTCATGCTTGATGGTTATAAAGGCATGGAAATAAAGAAGTTATTAGGATGGAGAAGTTGTAGAATGGAGTTTTACATAGTATGTGCTAGTGATTGACTTATAGCCTCACGCCTAGAGTACCTAAGAACGAGAAAGATTACGATATCGAAAAGAGGGCGTTATATGCTTCCCATGCTGAAACCAAAGGATTCCTCCGTGCCTAGGTCCCTACCCCTATTCGTATTTTTCCTATTAGTTAATCTATCTCTATCAGCTCATCATCATCTAACTGCTTATTTTGAACTCCTATCAGTATCGTAGTTAACCATGACGATGCCCCCGAACTCTTCCAAGACGCGCTTCCACCTCGGTAGTCCTCCTCATCAGGGCGCAAAAGCATCTGTTGCCCGGCTCTCTGAGTTCTTCAAACTTGCCGGCAAGTTCGTTATGAGCAAGCAGCCTTATCCTTTTCCCTTTCCTCTCTCAATTGGCGGATTTCCTCTTCAATGTTCTCAAGTCCCTTACTCTTGGGCGCCTGGTCGCCCAAGGCCTTATATAAGAGGTCGGACAGGACCTTGGGTAGGAGGTCGGGCAACTTCTTGCTTATTTCCTTATGCACCAGGTTGCGAATGATTTAGCTAAGAACATTACTAGAAGTCTTGCGACCACTGAGAGTCTTGCGACCATAGACAGGGCACCACGATATGAAGGATAGGGACGATACATTTAAATGATCCTCGTTCCAGAATAAAGCAAGTATTGTTCTCCATGACCCTTGATCCTCAACTCATTGTCCTCAGTAACTGTAACGCCTGGTTCCGCCAACCCTTTACCATCCCCCCAAGAGTAGCCCGTCGCAGTGTCCACCGTTCCTTTTCTCCATGGTAGCTCGCTTGGGTATCAGCCCTCTTCGCTGGCAGCTGCCTTGGTCGTCTTGGCCGATTCCAAGGCGTCAAGACGCTTTTCCGTCTTGGGAGTCCTCCAAATCAGAGAGCGAAGGGCTCTGTTTGCCGGCTTTCTAAATTCTTCAAACCTGCCGTCAAGTTCCTTGAGAGCAGCCTTGTCCTTCTCCCTGTCCTCTCTCAATCGACGGTTTTCCTCTCTCAGTTGGCGGATTTCCTCTTCAAGTTTCTGAAGTCCCTCATTCTTGGGCGCCTGGTCGCTCGGGATCCCGGGCAAGTGGTCGCGGAGGAGGTCGAGCAACTGCTTGCTGAGTTCCTTGCAGATGTCGGGCAACTGCTTCTCAAATTCCTCACTCAGCTGGCCGCGCACGGCGCCGGGAAACCCTGAAACCCGGATAGTCATACTCAACTCAGTGTCTGTGTTGGCTTGCTTCGCTGGGGGGGCGCTCGTGGTCGGGGTTGAGTCAGCAGGTCGTTTCGCTCCTTGATTCGTGTACTGTCTCATTAGATCCAGGAGTGCCAGAGAAGGGTCGACCTTTCCGAGGTTCGTCGACCCCTCTTCCTCTGTTTTGACCATGGCGATAGCCTCAGATCAAAGGGCTCCAAAGAGAGATGATGGATGCTTCTAATAATTAGTCATGATGCGAAAGAAGAGTGATGGAACGATTGGAATGTAATACCTGGCGGAGCTCTTCAGGAGGAAGAGGTTGTGAAGGAGGAAAAGTTGTTGAGATGAAGGAAGAGGTTGAGGAGCGAGTTTATATATTGGTGGTTCGTTTGAGAGCGTGATTCACAGCCTCACGTTTGGGTGTGTGATTCACAGCCTCCGCCGGCCGTTTGTTCTTCCTAACCTTCCCCTCTTCCTTCAAGCTGGAGATGGATGTTGAGGGGAAGAAACCATGGGAAGGGTTTTTAGAATGCTATGGTGTATGAGTGAGTGATTCACGGACTCACGGTTCAGTAGAATAGGGAAGATATGGAAGACGTTAAAAAGGTATGAGTTTATGCTTCCTACACTAAAACTAAGAGATTCCTCGATGCCCTACCCCTATTCGTATTCGTCCATCCATCCATTTGGTCTAACTCTGTCAGTTCACTATCATCTGACTGCTTATTTCGAACTCCCATCGGTATCGTAGTTAACCATGACAATGCCCCCGAACTCTTCGTCGTCGGTCTTGTTTGACTCTGGTGTCCAGGGCCGGTCTTGCTTCCATGCCCACGATGATAGATCCTCGTGACCAGTAGGTTCTGTCGGGCGTCTTGGCAGGGGAGGATTAGCTTCCTTTTCAGTCTCGGTTGGGCGACGAGGCAGACTGGGTGCTGTCTCTTGCTTTGGTTCTTCTTCCTTGGCTGTAGGACGTCGAGGGAGCTTCGGCGCGGGCTCCTCATCGCCATGATTGGTTGGACGCCGAGGAAGAGGAGGGTTCTCAACCTGCTTGTCCTGGACTGGAGGCTGTGAGGGAGACACAAGGCCGGGCGGGGAGATGTTAAGCCCACGGAGATCACTCGCAATCTCTTCCTGGCGAGGCGACTGAGAATTCTTCCGTTCATCATGTTCCGGCGCTCCATCAAAGTTGAGCAAGTCACCCTCGGTCTGGTGTTCTTTCATCTTGATAAGGTCATCTTTCTCAATCTCCGCTGCCGCCTTGACGCCGACGAATCCACACTTTCGAAGAATCTCGCCAGTGAGGTCTGGATAGCGTAGATGACCGCTGACGGACTCGCTCAAGTCAAGATTCTCGATTCCTTCGACGTCTGGGATCGTTTGCAAGCCGGCAACTCCCATAGAGAGACTGTGCGCGCGGTAGACGAAGCCGAGGATAAGATCGTTTTCAGAGAACACGTTGAAGATCTTTCCAGAGACGACAGTGCGAAGCGTACGCCAATGACCGGGTGCTGAAGGCGCGGGTGCTCCAATTAGGACAACGGTGTCGACAAGTCCAAAGGCGTGGCGCTCGGCAAGGGACTGCAAGCAAGCATGGATAGCTGTAGCACCCAGAGAGTAGCCTACCAGTGTTACAGGCCGCTCGCCTTGAACCTTGTTGATTAGGGCATCCGCGAGGAGCTGGCCAGCCTTGCGAGACCGGTTGTAGGCGTGGTTAAAGGGGTTGTCAACGTTGGAGGCGGCAGCGAGCAACTGGATAGGCCAGAGGGCGGCAAGAAGAGTTGCGAGGACGGTTCGCTTCAAGATCTCGAGCTTGAGCTTCTTCCAAGCAAAAGATTCGACCAAGGTACGCAGTGCATGTCCGAGGGCAATGAGAGTCTTCATCTCATAGCGGAGGGCAAACACTTCGCTGTCGTCACTCATGACGCGCCATGGCTTGGTGACATCTTGCTCGGAGTGAAGCCAGCCGTTGATTCCAATAGTGACACGAAGACGACGGTCTTGCTCGCCTTGTGGGTCTTCAGCGTTGAAGACTTCACCCCATTCTTCCTTAAGAGGGATGAATTTGAAATCTTCGACTTCCTTGGCGTACTTGTCCATCATCTCACCCTAATACATGGTCTTAGTAGCTATCGAGGGAAAATACCTGGGGACATACCGTCATCTTGGCTCCATATGCGCCAAATAGTGCTCCAACAAGGGCACCGTTCATCCAAAATATGCCAAGGAAGCTGGCAACACCTCCCAAGCCTACGCCGCCCATGATACTGCCGACAGCGCCGGCAACCAGAGGGGCAGCCAGGCCTCCAGTGACACCGATAACTGCCGCACCAGCCACGGAAGCGAGGCCAACCTTCCAGAATCTGTTAAATTTGTTGTCCTGTCTGCGCTTGGCTGCTTCAGCCTCGGCAGACATGACCTCTTTCTGCTTGTCCCCATTCTTGGAGGATTCGAGAAGGGCCTTGGCGATCTCAATTTCTTCATTGATGATAAAGGACTGTGAGAGCTCCAGTGAGGAGGCAAGATATAGTGCCAGAGCTCGTGTGTGAGCCGAATACTTGCCCGTAGACAGGATGAGAAGCAAGATGCATGAAAGAGCTTGCTTCCTATCCTCCGATGGGATAGTTGTCAGTCTCGTTGGGATGGGGTGGTACAAGGCCTGGAGTGAGGTGACATCCTCCAGCTTATCGATCTTGGTCTCTCCGAAACTGATGAGATTCTCGCCTTCTTCAGGTGTGTCGAGCTTCTTTTGCTCCAGTGCCTGCTGGTGCTTGCGTCTCTCTTCCTGGATCTTCTGGTCATCCTTGACACGGATAATCTCTTCGAGCTTGGGCATAAACTCCCGTTTCCATTCTGCCAGGTGCTTCAGTGCGGCTCTTTGGATGCGTAGGGACTGAGTTGATCTGTTTGGCTGCTGGACACGGGTCTCGGGATCTTCGTCCCTGGGTGTCGAAGGTCCACTCTCATCACGAGGTGTGGACAGAACAGGGCCCAGCTCATCATCAGCAACGTCGAGCTGAGAGCTCATGAAATCGGTGATTTCATTGACGAGCTTCCAGAGAGCTTGGCGTCGTGCGGGGTTGAGGCTGATGACGATCTGTCGTGGGTCCGAGCATGTTGGGGCCATCGTGATATCGGCTCGTTCCCCGGGAACGGTGGAGATGGTGTTGAAGTAAAGTCACAATATCAGTGGGAGGGCCTAGGAGATTGATGTCGAACAAGACAGCTGGCTTCGCAATGAACAAGAATTACGTTGCGAGATCGAGTGGTGACATTCCCTCCAAGCTGTCGCTATTGGTCCGTGGACGTGCAGGGTGTATGATCCCTCACTCTCTGCCTAGCGGCGTCGACTGTCCCCTGAAACGCAGGGGCCTCGAGCTGAATTGTCTGGCGATGGGGGATATGGAAGATGATGCTGTGATGTTCTTGGCCTTCTTCTTCGTTGGTTGGACGGTGTTGGAGGGGTTGGAGGGAGATGCCTGTCCCTTGTCACGTGCGATGTATCAAGATATGTCAGCGGTGGACGAGACAGAGGAACAAGAACAGCGTCTTCAGGTCCAGAGACGTTAGCCAGGATATCCAGTTGTGGCCGAGGTTTGTGATTTGGGTCAAGTCTCGATCGAGTTCTCTTTACGTGTCTTATACGAGCTGTTGGTCCTCGATCGAGTCCTACTGGGGCTCTGTCGATCCAACGTCATCGTGCGCAAGCTGCCGTGCCTGGCTGAGATGATATCAAAAGCATTTCTCAGGGGTTCGGCTGGAGTTTAATATTGAAGAGATACCGTCTAGTTGGACGCCTCAAGGCTCGAAGCGGAAAGCTACACATTCCAGGTGAAGCCACAATAAATGAAGCCAGGCGCGTTGACGTTAGGTTTCCCTGGTGTCATTAACACCCATGGAGGGCGGCACGCGGGTTATGAAGAATTATATAACTCTACTTAAAATTCATGAATAGGACTCTCTAAAGAATAGAGAACAATGGCCTGATGGAACAGGACTTTAGATTACTTTTATTTATTCTCATCCCATCCTTATTGCACCGTTTTACTTGCCCTGAGGGGAGGATAAGCTAATGTTTGGTTCTTGTTTCTCTTGACCCACGGAAGCTCCAGGGTAATCCATCGTGAGACGAGCCGATAAGCCAACATGCGCGATAAGATCCCAGCCCCGCTAAAAAAATTCCTAGTCTGGACCCTCGAAAGATGAGTTTCCTTGACCATCCAGCTTCTGTTCAGTCCATTCTCTACGAAAGCCGAGGCCGACACCACCTCAAAACTCGTCGCAAAGCCTCAGTCACATCGAAGTCATCACGATGAACGCTCACGCGCTCCTCTCCTCCCAGGGATGGCGAGGAACAGGCCACTCCCTCCATAAAACCGACGACTCGATCGGACTCGCGAAACCCCTACTACTCAATCGCAAAGACAACACGCAAGGATTGGGTCAAAAGCAACACTTTACAAGCGATCAATGGTGGATGAACGCATTCGACGAGCAACTTAAGGGCCTCGACACCTCAAAGAAGGGAAAGGTTGTTCAGACAATCACGACGGGCAAGCTCAATGTTATCGACAAGAACCTTGGTAAATACTCGGTCTACTCGTCCTTTGTACGAGGAGGATTTCTCGAGGGCACCTTAGACAAGCTCGAGATCAAGGACGCGAGCACAGATTCCTCCTCGGACGATACTAGCGACCAACAAGACACCGTGAAGGCCAATGGCGACAAGCCTCGAAAAGAAACCAAGGAAGAGAGAAGGGCGCGAAAAGAAGCCAAGAGAAAGCGCAAGGAGGAGCGTGCCCTGAAGAAGGCCGCGCGCCGAGAGCGCAAATCCAAGTCGAAAAAGTCATCACGGTCATCCAAGTCATCGGCAGACTCGAGCGACGCAGACGAAGAGAAGCGGCAACGGCGAGCTAGGAAAGAGGAAAAGAGGAGACAAAGAGCGAAGGAGGCAGCGAAATAAAAGGGCACATGGAGATTTGGAGTTTGGCAACATATACACAGCGAAAGCATCTTTGCGGAGTTTAGGTCGATCAAAGGTTATTTTTTTTTTTGGATGATACCCCCTATAGATGTATATTTTACGTCTCCTTTGGAATCTTGCCTGGCTTGTTAGAAAGGAGCCATGGTCTTCGATCCCAAAAGTCGTCCTTGATGATGTCGAGGTGCTCCACGACGACACGCGCCTTGGCCCGGCTCTTCTTGTCCTTTTCCTTTTGGGACTTGGACTGTTGAACCGGCTCTGCCTGAGCGTCGATGGTTTGCGTGATGTTGTGCGAGTTGGGATCGACCAGCTCGTACTATAGAAAGATGTTAGCATTGTCACTGGGACGTACTTTCTAAACTAACATCACGGAAGATGACGCTGCCCTTCTTGAAAATTTCGGGCTCATTGTTGTAGTTGATTGAGAACCGTGAGAAGAGGATCTCATTCTTGTCGGCCGCCAGTGTGCCCTTCGGAGGGTGTTAGCGCGCCCATCATCCAGGAGCAATCTGCTTACAGCAAGAGTCCTTTCGGCTTCCTTGTTGTCCAAGCCTCCAAGTTGAATTAGAGACCAGAATGTTGTGTTGTACAGGTTATTGATGTGGCCTACTTCGTTAGAGATATATTGATCATGCAATGGTAGCTGAGCACTCACAGTCTACTTGTCGCCAGCTCATATAATCCCGGAGATTCTGAACACTGGGGTAACAAACGGCTCGGCCATCAAAGGTTGGAAGCGGGTAAGATAGAGGGGTATCTGGGAAATGAGTCGACCAAGAAAAGACATAGTTGGCCGTGAAGGTAGAGACAACTGTGCTGACAAGTTTGCTGAGATGGATGTCAGCTAGGTCTGTAAGTGTTGGCAAACCATGTACCTGGCTCGTCTCTCAAATAGAGTGCATGCCTTGTGGAAAACAAAGCTGCCAAAATTGTCAGCAGGGAAAGAATAAGAGAGCCTGCGAGAATGAACCTGTATTCGTCACTGACGCCGTATGCGATGGTGATTTCGGGCAGGTCAGTCACAACCGCCTTGGCTGCCGTGTTCATAAGATCCAATGCTCTTCGGTCATTTGGCTTTTCAAAACCATACTTGGCACACATCCTTTTTATCATGAGCAATGTGCTAGGTATTGAGAGTCATGCGGAGTATACTTTGTGAACCCTCTCCCGTCTACTCGAACCACGATCCATGTGTTGGGCAGTAGAGCATCCGTCGTCTCAAAAGTACGGACGTACTCGAATCTTGTAATGCATTAGGTACAGGAAACAGTTGGAAAAGTATACGGATTCAAAACTCACTTGGAGTTTGCCATCTTTGCGAGTCTCTGGGCTAGAGTCCAGCGCAGGTAAACGAGTGTTGGCGGAGAGTCTCACACTTGATGGTGTCTGGTGTTTGTGAATCAGAGGGGCTTTGTGAGAATTGTTAGGACAGCTCAGGCCGTGTGGAGAAGGTACAGAGTCCGTTGTTGCCTGCACACCAGGGCGTGTTGGGCCAAGAGTGGGCTCTGGGGCAGCCGTAGCCTTGCAGATCTGGACCTACCTCCAACGCGGCTGAAGCCGATTTTTGGAGATGCTCGCAACTTAACCTCCCCCTCCATGGAACGCGACAAGCTTAATTCAACAGCTATCCTTTGACGTCCAGGCCCGGCGTCGCCTCATCATGAATCTCCTGCTATCTGACGACTATCTTCTTCAAGATTACCCCGAAAACATCACCAATACAATCCGCTCTGGACATGCGACTACTCTGCGCTTCAACCGCAAGGGCGATTACCTTGCCTCCGGTAGAGTCGATGGCACCGTGGTAGTCTGGGACCTCGAAACTATGGGTGTCGCGAGGAAGCTGAGAGGTCATAACAAGAGCATCACGTTTCTTAGTTGGTCAAGGTGTGGCCAGTACCTCCTCACAACCTGTCAAGGATGGAAGGCAATCCTTTGGGATCTTCAGGATGGCAAGCGACTGCGCGAGGTTCGTTTCCGCGCGCCCGCGTACATGGCGGAGCTTCATCCATGGAATCAGTAAGTGCGCGTTGAATCGATGTACGTGCGATCGCTGACATGCGACAGCTTGCAATTTGTCGCAGCGCTCTTTGAGGAGCAGCCCGTCCTTGTCGATGTTTCCGAGCCCGTCGACATCAAACATATCCTCCCTTCTGCCCCGAAGCGATCGAATACCGATGCCGACGCAGCTCTCAGAGAGAAGCAAGCAAAGGAGGATGCCAAGCAAATGACCACATGTGCCATCTGGAGCATTACTGGAGACCATATCCTCGCCGGAACGAACAAAGGAAAACTCAACATCATTGACGCCAAGTCCTACGAGATTATATTCTCCGCAAAGATATGCTCAGGAGCTATTACTACGATGCGGATGACAGGATCGGGCCGCGAGCTGCTGGTCAACTCGCAAGATCGCATTATCCGGACATTTCGAGTCCCTAATCTGTCGGTCGAAAACCTGGATCTTGATACATTACAGATCCCCCTGGAACACAAATTTCAAGACGTCGTCAACAAGTTGTCATGGAACCACGTCACTTTCAGTGCAACCGGAGAATACGTGGCAGCCTCGACGTATAACAACCACGAGCTCTACGTCTGGGAACGCAATCACGGCAGTCTGGTGTGTATGCTGAAGGACCCCAAAGAAGAACAGGGCGTTATCGAGTGGCACCCGGCTCGCGCTCTCTTGGCCGCATGCGGCTTGGAAACGGGCCGGATATATATATGGTCTGTAATCAGTCCACAGAAGTGGTCTGCGCTGGCGCCGGACTTTGCAGAGGTGGAAGAAAATGTCGAGTACATCGAGCGGGAGGACGAGTTCGATATTTATGCACAAGAGGAAATCCATCGACGGCGGCTCGATGCTGAGGACGAGGAGGTTGACGTCTTGACATTGGATCGATCCAAGGCCCTGGACGAAGGAGAGAGCTTTCGCATGCCCATCCTGTTCAACCTGGGCGAAAGCGACAGCGAGGATGAATTTATCGCCGTGTCGACCGGCACCATGAGACGTAGGAGTCCTGGAGAGGGTCAGAGCGATTTGGATGAAAAGGTACCTGTGAAGAAGACAGCAACCAAGGCCTCTAGAAGCCGAAAGCGCTGAATGCGGCGACAGTGTTGGACAAAGGATCTGGGGCAGGGAGAGTTGGACGCGACAAAGAGCCAGGGTGGCCTTTGTCGCATTGCGATAAAGCTAGAGCTGCATGGCGCAAAAGTCACCGACTTGATGAGAGCGAGGCATTGCCGGTCTTGACGTGAATTTGACCTCAAAAAAACGTCGCTTTGCGGCGCAATCGAATCTTGAACATCTGCTGCCTATGGCTACGCGACGTTGCTGAACACGCATGAATTGATTGGAAGGTATTGAGCCGGAGCTGAGTCACCGGTGCAACGTCAGAGGAGGGTGATTATGGAACATCAAAAGTAGAGCTACTTGGCAGGCGGGTGCGACCTCTGATGAACCGAAAAAATCAGCGCGACTTGCTCATTAAAACGCGTTGCAGCTGTCTCCACCGCAATTTAGTCAGCATGAAAGAGCATGCACCAAAGTACCGGTACTTAGCCTCTCCCAAGCCTCAGGCAACACCGACAAAGCTCAAACAGCCTAAAATGGCTTAGCGCCATCGCTCGTCCGCCAGCCGCCTCAAGTCCAGAATCTTTCAGGCTTCCCCCGACCTTCTCGCTTCATCCACGACAAACTTTTGCCCATCGCACAACTTCATCACAGCGCGCGTCGGGCATCGCGCGAATCGCATCGAACCAGCTTGCCGACCGATAACGACCGACCGACGACATCGCCGACCGCGATTTTTCGATCCCTTGCGACTTTCGAGGTGGCGGCGACGGGGGAGATCAGCCTGAGGTTCTCCTGGGCCGTCGGCCAGGACAGGCGTTGCTGCTCTGCGCCATCCAGCAATCGTATCTGAAGGCTTCTGCCATCGATTTTGCGACCTTGCGCGGTACAATACTTGCTCTGCCGCAGTTTTCTCCCGTTTTCTTCGACTTTTTCGCGTTCCTTTGCTCTCTGGCGCGCGTTCTGACCTCCGCTCTCGCTTCACGCTCCTTTTCCGTTCACGTCAGGGCCACCGCCAGTCGCCACCATGGCGAACCTCATCTTCACCCACTCGAGCGCTCCGCTCAAGACAGTGGAAGAGATTCAGTTCGGACTGATGTCCCCCGAGGAGATCAAGAACATGAGTGTCTGCCACATCCTCTACCCCGAGACCATGGAGGAGAACAAAACCAAGCCCCGCGACGGAGGCCTTAATGACCCGCTCCTTGGATCTATCGACCGACAATTCCGATGCAAGACCTGCACTCAAGCTATGGGCGAGTGCCCTGGTCACTTCGGCCATATCGAACTCGCGAAACCCGTCTACCACCCTGGCTTCATCAAGAAGGTGAAGAAGATTCTGGAGATTGTCTGCCACAACTGTAGCAAAGTGTTAGCCGATACTGTTGGTCTCACCACATGAAGCTCTGCTATTTAACCCTTTGATGCTAACCTCGTCCTCTCAGAGAGATCCTGAGTTCGCCGCAGCTATCGCTACTCGAGATCCCAAAGTTCGCTTCAGTCGCGTCTGGGAAGTCTGTAAAAAGAAGAGAAGATGTGACAACGAGGAGCCAAAGCAGAAGGATGAGGAATTCGCCCCAGGCATGAAGTTGGGTCCTGTGGAAGGCCACGGCGGTTGCGGCAACGTCCAGCCCAACGTCCGACAGGCCGCCTTGCAGTTGAAGGCTGCTTTCGACGTTGTGGAGGAGGGAGGAGGCAAGCGACGAGAGACGACGCCCATCACTCCCGAGATGGCTCACAACATCTTGAGGCGAATCACCGAGGAAGACCTTCGGGACATGGGTCTCAACTCGGACTACGCCCGCCCCGAGTGGATGGTTCTCACCGTTCTTCCAGTGCCCCCGCCTCCCGTCCGACCCAGTATCTCCATGGACGGCACCGGCACCGGCATGCGCAACGAAGATGATTTGACATACAAGCTGGGTGATATCATCCGCGCCAATGGAAATGTCAAGCAGGCCATCCGTGAAGGATCACCTGCACACATTGCCAGGGACTTTGAGGAGCTACTGCAGTATCACGTTGCCACCTACATGGACAATGATATTGCTGGACAGCCTCGCGCTCTGCAGAAGAGTGGACGTCCCGTCAAAGCCATTCGAGCACGCCTAAAGGGCAAGGAAGGTCGTCTGCGAGGTAACCTGATGGGTAAGCGTGTCGACTTTTCGGCACGTACTGTCATCACTGGTGATGCCAATCTTTCACTTCACGAAGTCGGTGTTCCTCGCAGCATCGCCCGAACTCTCACATACCCCGAAACTGTTACACCTTACAACATCGGTCGGCTGCATCAGTATGTCGAGAACGGCCCCAACGAGCACCCCGGTGCCAAGTACGTCATTCGCGCAGATGGTCAACGTATTGATCTGCGGCACCACCGCCGCGCAGGTGCTATCTCTCTTGAGTACGGCTGGAAGGTCGAGCGTCATTTGATTGATGGTGACTATATTATCTTCAACCGTCAGCCCTCTCTGCACAAGGAATCCATGATGGGACATCGTGTCCGCGTCATGCCGTACTCTACCTTCCGTCTGAACCTGTCTGTCACATCTCCTTACAACGCCGATTTCGATGGTGACGAGATGAACCTGCACGTTCCTCAGAGCGAAGAGACTCGCGCCGAAGTCAAGGAGCTCTGCCTGGTGCCTCTCAACATTGTTTCACCCCAGAAGAACGGTCCCCTCATGGGTATTGTCCAGGATTCGCTTGCTGGAGTGTACAAGCTCTGCCGACGAGACACTTTCCTCACCAAGGAGCAGATCATGAACAGCATGCTTTGGGTTCCTAACTGGGATGGTGTCATCCCTCAGCCTGCCATTCTCAAGCCACGCCCTCGGTGGACTGGCAAGCAGCTCATCAGCATGGTCATTCCCAAGGAAGTGACCCTACACAACGGCACCGACAAGAAGGAGGATGCCCCCCTTAAGGACGAGGGTATCCTAATTCAAGCTGGTCAACTCATGTACGGTCTTCCCACCAAGAAGATTGTTGGTGCAGCGGCTGGTGGCATTGTCCACATCAGTTACAACGAGCTGGGAGCTGAGGGTGCCATGGCATTCTTGAACGGTGTTCAGCAGGTTGTCACATACTGGCTGCTCAACAACGGTCACAGTATCGGTATCGGTGACACGATTCCCGACAAGGCAACCATTGAAAAGGTTCAGGTGCACATTGATGAAGAGAAGGCTGAAGTCGCTCGCCTCACCGCTATGGCTACTGCCAACGAGCTTGAGGCTCTCCCCGGTATGAATGTTCGAGCAACATTCGAAAACAAGGTCTCGATGGCTCTTAACCAGGCTCGTGACAAGGCCGGTACTACGACACAGAAGAGTTTGAAGGACTCCAACAACGCCGTCACCATGGCTTCATCAGGTTCCAAGGGTTCATCCATCAACATCTCACAGATGACTGCGCTTGTGGGTCAGCAGATTGTCGAAGGAAAGCGTATTCCCTTCGGATTCAAGTATCGCACACTGCCCCATTTCACCAAGGATGATTACTCGCCCGAAGCCCGTGGTTTCGTCGAGAACTCGTACCTTCGTGGTCTGACTCCTTCTGAGTTCTTCTTCCACGCCATGGCTGGTCGAGAAGGTCTCATTGATACTGCAGTCAAGACTGCCGAGACAGGTTATATTCAGCGACGACTGGTCAAGGCTCTGGAAGACCTGTCCGCGCGCTACGATGGAACCGTCCGAAACTCATTGGGCGATGTTGTGCAATTCCTCTACGGCGAAGATGGTCTGGATGCTATGTGCATCGAGAAGCAGAAGCTGGGGATCCTCAACATGTCCAATGCTGCCTTCAAGGCCAAGTACCGACTGGATCTTGCCAACCCTCCCGAGTGGTTCAAGTCGGACTACGAATTTGGTAACGAGTTGACTGGCGACAGGCCTTCGATGGCCCTTCTTGATACTGAGTGGGAGGCTTTGCTCAAGGACCGTCGGGTGATCCGACAGATCAACAAAGCCAAGATGAACGAGGAAATGATGCAGCTGCCGCTCAACATTACTCGAATCATCGAATCAGCCAAGCGTGTGTTCAACGTCAAGGCCAACGATCGCAGCAACCTGCGTCCCTCTGACGTTATCCCTTCCGTGCAAAACTTGCTCGACCACATGAAGATTGTTCGCGGTACCGACCCCATCTCAGTAGAGGCAGATGCGAATGCCACCATTCTCTTCAAGGGCCTGCTACGCTCTCGTCTGGCATTCAAGGAAGTGGTCAAGGAGCATCGCCTGAACAAGCTCGCATTCGACCATGTTATCGGTGAGCTTCAAAACCGATGGGATCGGGCCTTTGTCAGCCCTGGTGAAATGGTTGGTGTTTTGGCTGCTCAGTCTATTGGTGAGCCTGCTACTCAGATGACACTGAACACATTCCATTTCGCTGGTGTGTCTTCCAAGAACGTCACTCTGGGTGTGCCCCGTCTCAAGGAAATTCTCAACTTGGCCAAGAACATCAAGACGCCTAGCATGGCTGTGTATCTCAACACACCGCTTGCTCGACAGGAACAGGCCAAGAAGCTCCGAAGTATGGTTGAGTATACCAACCTTCGCTCTGTGACAGCGGTTACCGAGATCTACTACGATCCCGATATCCAGTCAACCAACATTCCTGAGGATATGGATATGGTCGAGTCTTACTTCATGATTCCCGATGACACGCAGGTCAGCATCGACCAACAGTCGAGATGGCTTCTGCGTATCACACTTGATCGACAGAAGCTACTCGACAAGGAGATCAGGATCGACGACGTTGCTCAGCGCATCAAGGAGGAGTACCCCACTGATCTGGCTGTCATCTTCAGTGACAACAACGCCGACGAGCAGGTGATCCGCATTCGAACTGTCTCTGCTGGTGACAAGGACGAAGATGGCGAAGGCCGAATGGAGGACGATGTCATGCTGAAGCGACTTGAGGCCCATCTTCTCGATACCCTCACTCTTCGTGGTGTCAACGGCGTCGAGCGTGCTTTCCTTACCAAGGGAACCAGACTCGTTGAGAGCCCCGATGGAGCACTGCTTGCCATCAAGGACGACCCACGATGCACCCAGTGGTACCTGGATACGAGTGGTTCGGCGCTGCGTGATGTGCTGGCAGTTGACGGTGTTGACGCGAGCCGGACATACACCAACGACCTGTGGCAAGTGGTTGAGGTGTTTGGTATCGAGGCGGCTCGTTCCGCACTGGTGAAGGAGTTGACCAACGTGTTGGCTTTCGACGGTTCCTACGTCAACCATCGTCACATTGCGCTACTGACAGATGTCATGACGTACAGAGGTTCCATCTCGGCTGTTACTCGACACGGTATCAACCGCGCTGACACTGGTGCTCTGATGCGTTGTTCCTTCGAGGAGACGGTCGAGATTCTGCTCGAGGCTGCAGCTTCAGGCGAACTGGATGACTGCCGTGGTATCTCGGAGAACGTCATGCTGGGCCAGATGGCGCCAATGGGCACAGGCAACTTTGATGTCCTCCTGGACCCCAAGATGCTGGAGACTGTCATCTCGGACAACTCTCGCATGGGCTTGATGCCTGGCATGCCTGTCAAGGGAGGAGAGATCGAGGGAGCAGCGACGCCTTACGACACAGGGTCTCCCATGGCTGACTCAGGCTACCTCAGCCTCAGCTCGCCGGCAGCTGGTAACTTCTCTCCTATCCAGGGTGCTGGATCGGATACTCCTGCTGGCTTCGGCAACACTGAGTACGGTTTTGGTGGATCGACTGCGATGAGCCCGTACGCGATGCGCGGAGGAACCAGCCCCTTCACCACATCGCCAACGTCGCCATTCGGACCTGGAGGAGGCTACTCGCCAACGTCACCCAATGCCTACTCGCCCACATCGCCTCTTGTGGATGGTGGCATGGGGGGTCGGTATGCCACCTCGCCTTCGTTCAGCCCGTCGTCGCCGTCGTTCTCGCCTACGTCACCCATGGTGCGGCCGACAAGCCCCGCGAGCCCCAACTACAGCCCGTCGTCGCCGAACTACTCACCTGCTTCGCCATCGTCGCCTCGACACTACTCGCCTACATCGCCGGCGCAGTTCAACTCTCCCACGTCTCCCAACTACTCGCCGGCAAGCCCCAACTACAGCCCTGCGTCGCCCAACCTTCACGCAGGCGGAACCACCTCGCCGTCGTACTCACCGGCATCTCCCACGTGGTCTCCTACGTCTCCCGAGGCCTACTCGCCAACAAGCCCGTACCAGAGGAGCCCTGGTGCGCAGCAGTCGCCAACCAGCCCAAGCTACTCGCCCACATCGCCTGCTTTCTCTCCTCGTACACCTGGTCCGGGATCTTCTGGAAACCAGTAGTGAGTTGATCAGCTTGGCCGGAGAGGAGTGCCGAGACGAGTGGCTAACACAGACGGAGCAGTTCTCCCAACTCGCCGTCAAACGAATAATTTTTTGATTGAATAATGCAAACGTGGCACAGGTTGTCATTTCATTTTTTTCCCGCATGGTTCTTTGGTCAGGGGGGGTTTTCTTTCAGCATCATAGACCCGCAAAAGAAGTTGGTACAGACTATACAAGAAAAATCAGAAAACCACGAAGAGGGCGGAGGAAGCTGGACGAAATTCTGAGAAGGGCCAGATGGGCATTCGAGGAACAACCGAGGGGAGGAGAGAAAAAAACAAAAGAATAAGATAACGGGGCATTGTAATAGCTGACTTGTACTATAGCGATGGGGGGTTGGCGAAGGAAAGGGGACGGGAAGGAATTGGAGGGGAGGGGGAAGAGGCAATGACATATAGGGATGATGATCCAGATTGGAATCAAGACTGCGGACGCAGCATGACAGACAGACAGACAGGAGGTGATGACACACATTCAGCTATGCAGAATTTTGGAATGGATTGGCCTATTTGAAAACAAATGAGCCCTGATACCCTCTGTTCTCTGATGATGCATGCGTAGGTAGTGTGTGTGTACTCGGTAGTCCAGTCTTGTCTGGTGATGCACTGCATGATTTTATCTAGTTTTGGGCATGTGTAGTTATTGTTTTCTTGGTGGCTCTTGTTGGGTCAAATGTAGTAATTGAATAAGCGTTGCATGATATACAAGATGGGGGGCTCATGATGTCTTTAAGTTCTTATTGAATGTTTAGAAGTGTCTCTTTAAGCACAGTCTAGAAGTCATCTTTAATTTAGGAGACCATATTCCGACTGTTTAACCATGTTTATGCCAAGACTCATCAGGGTCCTCTTCTAAATTCTGTACAAGGTCGAAATGCCGTCAACTTGTGTGTACCTACCTTGATATGTAACCCGCTGTGTAGTCCCATGATGGAGAGAAACAGTGGAAATGTAACATGGAGCACATCCATCCACAAAGTTTTCTGTTCTCGTGAGACGAGGCACATGAACAACCACTCAACGGAAAAAAGGAAATTAAAAAAAGGACGACAAGGAGAGGGAAAAAAAAAAAAAAAGTGTACCCGGCATATGTGGACGACGAGGTTATCCCGCCCAACAATTTTTTTTTTCTTCTTGGACTATTCGTCTTGAACGGGACATAATTTGCGTGCGTTTGCCCCAGGACATGACATGGTTTGGTTGTTGGTCAGCGCAGCCGCTCGTGCGACCCGACGAGTTAGGACGTGACATGACAGCAGAAGCGCGGGCCGCGTCGGCTGCGACCTCGAGGAGAAAAAAAGAGAACAAGGGGGAGTCCATGTTGAACTGGAAGAGAGAGACGAGACTCCACGACAAGGCTGATTTTTTAAAAAAAAAGTGACGAGAGAGAGGGGAGAGGTCTCTAGAATAGGCCGAGTGGGAACCTTGTGTGAAAGGAGGCACTGGCTATGTGGTGATGGGTGATGATGCTGCCCTGGGTGTAGTGCAACCAACAAAGAGTGTACATAACATGACATGGATACAAGGACAAAGAAAAAAGGGTAAAAAAGGACAAAAAGTCGGGTATAGATACAGATGGGAATCATGGGCCGATCGGCCGCACGAGCCCGTTAAAGAGAGACAACGGCATTTAGGCGAAATGCGGGGAGGGAGGAGAGAAGCCCGAGGAGGAGGAGGAGGAGGAGGCATTGTACTCTAGGGCTGTGAATGTAGAGGCTATCACGACATCCATTCGTTGGATGGGAGTGTGCATTTGGGGGCGGGGGCGGGGGCGGAGAGTTTTCCCAAGTCGTTTTTTTTTTTGTGGGACAGCGGCTTCTTCGGGGCGTACAATTGATAAAAGGGATAACACGAAAGAGGCAGAGTGAGTACAGCAAGGCAGAAACAGGTTTCGCCTTTTCAGCTCCCAAGAATAGCAAAAGGAACCATCTCGTGTTAGGGCTGAAAAGGAAACATGATATCATGAGGATCTGAGTAGGATCAAAGGATAAAACAAAAAACCGCTGCAATGAGGCTGAAAGAGGCTGTGTCAAGTTTCAAAAAAGAACTCCTCCTTCCTCCTAGAGTTCTATCTCGTGTTTGTTTCCACAGCCAGCTCGGCTGTGCAAAAAAAAAACCGACATGCCAAGCGAGAAAGCACCGAGGGAGCAGCAACTATCCCCGAAGTCTCGAGTAGGAGTTGGGGGGAAAAGGAGTGACGATCCTCATCCATCACAAGGACAAAAGACTTCAAGTCAACAACTCAGTCTTGGTGAAACCCTCATCATGGCCCCCAAATCTGACCTCTCTTCATCACATGATTCCGACCGTCTGCGTGCACCGATGCGTGGCGCCCACTCTCCACCAACACCAGCGACCAGGAGCACGAGAGCAGAGGCCAACACTCGCTTGAACGAGATGCCTGTGCTCGTCTTGGGCTCTCGTCCGGCCCTGCCCTGTGCGTGCGTGCGGGTGGGAAAATCGCCTTGTTCGTTCACCGACCTACAGGAGCGCTGAGCGCGGGTGTGTGCCAATGGGTGCCATAGTCCCATTTTACACCGATCTTTGAACCCATCTCATCCCTGAATGAGGTTGACTGAACTCGTACTAGAATCAGAGACTAGAGGTCAAGAAGAAAAAAGACGCGGTCCAGGTGTGGGTGTCGGCGCTTAAGCTTGGGTGCGAGCCGGGGCATCCTGTCAATCTTTTGAGCTGCTGCATGTGTCTCTCTCTCTTCTCAACTTTTTACCTCTTTCTCCCCCTTTCCAATATGCCTCGTGTCCAAGTAGCAGCTGAGTGAAAAAAAAGTCTTGTCGGCCCGGCTGCAGAACAGGTCGCTGATGCAAGACCAACTATGTTGGTTGGTGGTGTTCGTTCGCTCGTGGACACCGGTGGACTTACATACAGTACTATGCAGTACATTCATTCGGATCCCATCCGTCAATCAATGAGACCCGCTCAACAAGCATGGGCCATGATGGATGGGATGAGTTGGGATGGGTTGGGTGGCATTACCGAGGGGCGGCTCTCATCGCGGCAGTGACATCAATCGGTTCTGTTCCTGGCCCAAAGGCAAGGTATCAGATCAAAAAAAAAAAAAAACGCCCATAAGGCGCACTTGGCCCCCCCCCTGACTGGCCTCACACTCTCTATTCGAGACGAGACGTGAGGCTGTGAGCAGGACCAGAAGGAAGAAGACACAGCAGAAGAAAAAAGTGAAACATGTTCTGGAGCGTTGATGCGTTGGCCTTGGCTGTTGGTTGTGAACTCGTGAGTTGGGCCTGGCCTGGTAGGGCCGTGACCATGGCCGTGGCGTGGCGGGTCAGATGCGGCCAAGCTTCCATTGAGAGTGGATCTTGTTCAGGGCTAAAGCGACTTCACAGCAAGCCTCAATAGACAGGGGACCTATCGAGGCGAGAGTTCTTGCACCAGGGGTTGAGTTGGTTGAGTTGAGTCTTGATCATAGATGTCTTGACAAACGTGTAACATGATGTAAAGGTGAGAAGAGAGAAAAAGATAAAACATCCACCAAGGGGACGAGAGAGAGAATAAAAGAAATAGGAAAAAAAAAGGAAAAAGAAAAAAAGAAGGAAACCCTCCAGTCGTGTAGGTACACCAAAGCACCAGGGATCCCAGTCCCTAGCTGCACACCCCCCAAGATCCAATACTACCCACTCCACTCGACCCCGACCCCAAAACCACCAACACACACTGTAATTGCTCGATAGGGTCCATCCAATCCAGGCTTGTCCGAGGCACCGCGCAAGGATGCGAAGCAAAACTGGTCAAAGAAATGAAGAAATCTGAATAATGAAGCAGCAAAAAAAGAGAACAATGACTTGAAAATGAGGGGGGGAAGATGAGAGGGAGACGTGAAATGACCCGACGCTGATGCTGAGCTGAGTAGAGTGAGCGCTTCGAGACTCCGGAAATGACTGTCATGCCTGTCTGTCTGTCTGTCTGTCTTGTCTTCTCTTGCGAGTCGTTGTTCTGGGAGCCCTAGTTTGTCGCCAAACAACTCCGGGGATACAACAATCCTTCTAGGGTTCCAACGTGTAAAGAAACAAAAGCTCCTGGGCCCCGTGAAGGGTCCGTCCAGCCCGAGGGGGGGATAGAAGCTTGTAGAGAAACACCATCATCGCTGTCGCGTGCCAGTGCTGCTCCGTTCAGAGCTTCTCACCCTTCCTTCGGGGATGCCGCGGGTCGCTGCCGTCCGTGGCTCGTCAGCTCAACCGTCACCTCGGCAGTCTCTGCAGAGGGGAGAATTTGAGTACCAACCTACTAGGTCGTCTGAGGAGGGTTTGGGCACTGAGGACGCATGCAGTAGCCCACCCACTTCTGAGTCCCCTGGTCCGTAATGTTGCTCTTGCACTGGCAGTTGGTGCCGGGCTGAGGGTCAAGGCTCGAAACTGTGCAGCCACACAGAGTCCAGAGCTGAGTAGTCTTCCAGTAGCACATGATGGGCAGTCCTTGGTGACAGAAGCAGGCTCAATCAAGGCAATCAAGGATCAAATCAGAGTCTCCGAGTCGTGAATCACAACGAGCGTGTTGATTCTGAACGAGGAGAGGGAGATGGTCTTCAAAGCTCCAGATATATATACCTGCCTTTTGCGAGGTGCGCTTCAGTTCGACAGACAAAGTAGTCCTTGACAGATGACAGGCTGCTCCTAGCCGTTATCCGAAAAGTTTGTGTGAGTGAGTTTGGTTGCACTCGTCCCGACGGGAAAGGCTCTGTGTGCCGTGGGGAAAGAATAGGCTGGTTGCCTTTGGGTAGGTGGTGAGAGGTAGGTAGGTATGGATGGCTAGCCCAGGACTAGCAGTACGGGAGGATGACTTGGCTTGGTTGGGGTTTGACCAACAAGAAGAGGGATCAAGAGGTGTTTTAAAGGCTGGTGTTGCTTTGTGATGAGCTGATCAAGTGTGTGTATGTGTGTGATTGTGAGAGATGCTGATGAGTTGAGTCGTGGTGATTATCGACAAGAGGGACAATGTCGTCGGTCCTTATATAGCTGGTGATACGATCCCGAGAGACTGGAAACGGCTGTGATAGAGCGAGGATGTTTGCTGTCCATGACACTATGGACACAGGCAGGCCTTGGAGATGCCGCGACGTCAAAGTCGAAATAACCCTCGCAACGGCCACCGAGCAAGGAATCGAGATTGTTGGTCGTGTTTGCACTTCCCCGACGTCCAGAGACCGGGAGCTGGGTTGGTTAGATAGGAGGGTTGGGTTGGTTAGCTACCCAGCTACCTTAGTTGGTCAAGGGAGGGCAAGGTTGGCTGGCTAGGGGCGTGAGCCTTGCGAGGGGGGGCGTGCGTGTTGGCGGCAGTGTGTTGTTAGTTGCTCCTCTTCCTTCTCGGCCGTCCGTCCCCGCAAAGAGACGCGAAAAAGAGACGAGGGGAGGTCCAGGCAGGGGACAGCCCCAAGTTCCAGAGAGGAGATATAGCCTCCGAGCTCCAGATTAGGTCGCCTGCACGCCGCAACACCATGTTGGCACGTCCTGCCCGAGAGTCGACTTACGTCAAGGCACATCAGTCCACAACTACTTGAGGAGAGAAACCAACTGCATCGCGGCTGGGCCGGGGCCTTGCGGTTATGGTAATCCCACGCCGTGTGCGGCTTGACAGATGGACAGAGAGACAGTTGGGTTCAGATGTGGATGGATGGGGGCCCT